CGGTGTGGTTGTTAAGCTGAGGACCACCTGTACATTCTCACAGCTTCCTTGTCAGTTCTGACCGTCTCCGCGTGCTTTCCCCCCTTAAGTTTCTAGACCCTGGTGTGCCTCTTCTTGGGAAAGCCATGATTTTCTGGCGCTTGAGTTTTCTCTGGGTTTCCTCCTCTCCCTTGTAGATCTGCAATCAAGCTCTGCAGATGCACGGCGGATACGGCTACTTGAAGGATTACGCTGTGCAACAGTTTATGCGAGACATCAGGGTCCACCAGATTTTGGAAGGTAGGTTGTGGGGCGTTTCCTGGGAGTTTGGCCCCGGCTACTGACACACGGAGTTGCTGTGAGTTGGATTGACACAAACACAGCCACTCTTGCACACTGACTGGATCTCCCTGATGTACGCCGAGTCCAGTTAAATGCAACCAACCTGAGTCATATATTGGACTGTGTGGCTGATCTCCATTCCCAATCAAGTCCTTGGCACGTCAGTTGTTTTGTGTGACTTGAAAAAACATGCTTTAAAACTGCTGCTGCTAGTTACACACACAAACACAGGAGTGTACAACAGGGGTCTTCAAACCTGGCCCTTTTATGACTTGTGGACTTCAACTCTCAGAATTCCTCAGCCAGCTTGTCTGGCTGAGGAATTCTGGGAGTTGAAATCCATAAGTCATAAAAGGGCCAGGTTTGAAGACCCCTGCTGTACAGAGTAGCAAAAGCCAGGCCGACAGACGAGTCACACAGAACAAAAGAATAAAAATAGTAAATTCCTAAGTATAATAGATTTTGAAATGCAATAACATTTTTTCTGATGTTTGCCAATTCTCACTTAACAATCTCACCTTATGTGAGAGTTTGTGAACATCAGAGAAAATATTATTGCATTCAGGAATTTACTGTACTTAAAAATTTGCTATTTTTGTTTTGTGCAACTGTACTTAGGAATTTCGTTTCAGTCAAGCAAGGAACAGCTTAGAAGAAAATGTGAACATTTAATATAATTTATATACTATATTAGATTACCAGGTAATCCTTTTAGCAACTGGTCAAAGTTACAATGGAGCCCCCGATCACCCCCTCCCCCGGGAAAGAGATTTATGAATATGTTTGGAAGTTCCAACATTGTTCCCTTCTCCTCTGTGGACCACAATTTGGGTGCTTGGCAACTGCCACTCATTGACAGCTATTTGTAGCATCTCATCCTCCCATGAACCTGACTTGTGACATTTTTGCTACAACAATGGGTTGGTTTCACCATCACTGCAAAAAGGGATTGTAAAAGCAGGTCCGGTCACATGGTGACCCGCTTTACAACCTATGGCCATATTTTTCAGTCTGAAATATGGTCGTAAGGCGAGGACTGCCTGTCATGACCCTCTTCTACCAGTCTACTGTTGAAAGCGTTCTCACATACTGTATTGTGGTTTGGTATGCTGGCTTGACAGCCGCGGACAGGAAGGTATTACAGAGGGCACAAAACATCGTGGGCTGTTTCCTGACACCACTGGATGACATCGCCAGGGCCCGTTGCCTTGGTAGAGTGAGGAAAATTCTCAGGGATGACTCTCACATCCTGTACAGTACCTCTACTCTCCTACCATTGGGTAGGAGATACAGAAACATAGCCAGCCGTTACCAACAGGCTGAAGAACAGCTATTATCCATGGGTTGTCAGGCTCTTGAATGGGACATAATGTTATGCATGACAGACCCGTGAGGCCGGCGTGTTGTGCAATTAGCTCACAGGGTGTAGTAAGTTAGGGGTTTGTAGTCACTGTGAGTTGTGGGAAGGGGGCACGGAGGGAGGCTCAGCCAATCTCACTGTATACATGTTATACTTTGATAAGTATACATGTTATACTTTGATAATGAATGAATTCATTCATTCAAGAGCCAGCAAACAGGCCAGCTCAGTTTCATAGGATGCTAAGTTGGGATTCCTTGCCTTTGGGTATCTCTTCTGCACCCACGCCATTCTGCAGTTTGCTAACCAACACATCTCCGTTTTCATCTCTGTGGTCTGTAGGAACCAATGAAATCATGAAGATGATCATAGCCAGGACTCTGTTACAGACGTGAGCATCCCGAGCTGGTCATCGGCCTCAGCATGATAGCGGCTGCTTTGGGGACACTCGGCTGGGAAGAGGAGAAGGCGATGCATTTTTCTCAGCTGTCTCCCTGGCCTAAACCCCAGATTTTGTGACGGGCACAGCCTGGCAGAGCCGGGAAAGCATGACCAGGGGCAGGATGGGTCTCAATAGAGCCTTTTGTCCACAAAGTGCCAGTGCTGACCATCTGCTTCTCAGCGGCCAGTTGAAATTCTCCACGTGGGAGTTCTGCATCAGCCTTCATCCTGCATCTCCTGGGAAGAATTGGATCCCTTCTGGATTTAGCTTAAGCTGCGGAATCTGCTTATTTTCTTCTTAAAAACATATTTCTCTGCAGAAAAGGGAGTTGTTTCCCAAAGGAGATAAAAAAAAATCACGTTTTTTTTTCAGTCTTTAACACGGAGAGATAATCTTGCCATGCTCTTGGTGACTCGATGGTAGGAACCTGATTTTTCTACTTTTTGCCTACTTAGTTGGCCACAGAAAAGCCAACCATGATGTGCTTCCCTAAAAGCCCCCAGCCCAAACAAACTTGTTTGTTTATTCGCATCAGAAGCATCACAAGGAAAATAAGGCGCACTATACCACCTGCAATTTAAAATGTAAAATTATAAGATTTTTTTTTCTTTTAACTCTGTACAAGTTAAACGAATCTTGCCCAGAATGAAGTCAAAAAAACCCCACTGATTATTTCCTTCCAAATGTTGGAATCAATAAACGTCTCGTGATTTCTGTCTTTCGCATCTGCTCCGTTTTTGGCTTGTTTGGGGAGAAGATTTATCCCATCCCACCTTCTTGATGCTCCTGAAAGAAAGCTGGCTTCTGAATCCCATCGATGAATTCCTTTTGACTCTTTTGACCTCACCACCGGTGGACACTCTGAGCAGGAGGGGGAATGGATGACTTTAGGTTGCGGCTTTGCACGCACCTGAGTCTGCCAGGATGGAAGGGATGTCCCCAGGATGGCTCCCCAATTAAAAAACGAAAAACAAAAACCGAGCCGCAGGGGAAAGTTCCATCTTTGACCCAGATGAGTCAGTGGGCTTCCAGGGTCAATATAGCCACCTTTCTGGGGGGGGGGGTGATTCCATAGATGGGTGCACCCCAAACAGAGAGAGGGAGGGAGAGAGAGAGGGAGGGAGGGAGGGAGAGAGAGACAGAGAGAGAGAAGGAGGGAGGGAGAGAAGGAGGGAGGGAGAGAGAGAGGAGAGAGGGAGATAGAGTGTGTGAGAGAAAGGGAGAGAGGAGGAGAGGGAGGGAGGGAGAGACAGAAGGAGAGGGAGGGAGAGAGGAGGGAGGGTGTGTGAGAGGGAGAGAGAGAGGGAGGGAGAGAGAAGGAGAGAGGGAGAGAAGGAGGGAGGGAGAGAGGAGAGGGAGAGAGTGTGAGAGAAAGAGAGAGGAGGAGAGGGAGGGAGGGAGAGACAGAAGGAGAGGGAGGGAGGGAGAGAGGAGGGAAGGAGAGTGTGAGAGAGGGAGAGAGAGAAGGAGGGAGGGAGGGAGAGAGAGAAGGAGGGAGGGAGAGGGAGGGAGGGAGAGGGAGGGAGGGGGAGAGAGAGAAGGAGAGAGGGAGAGAGTGTGTGTGAGAGAGAAAGAGAGAGAAGGAGAGAGAGGAGAATGCTCCCTGGGGAAAATAAATCAATGGAGGTAGTCCTCGACTTATAACAATTCCCCAAATTTCTGTTGTTGCTGAGTGAGACCTTTGTTAAGTGGGCTTTGCCCCATTTTACAACCTTTTTTGCCACTGTTGTTAAGTGAATCACTACAGTTAAGTTAGTAACATGGTTGTTAAGTGAATCTGGCTTCCCCTTGACTTTGCTTGTCAGGAGGACTCAAAGGGGGAATCACGTGACCCAGGGCACTGCAACTGTCATAAATACGAGTCAGTTGCCAAGCCTCCGGATTTTGATCACATGACCCTGGGGAGGCTGCAAATGTGTGAAAAAGGGTCTTAAAGCACTTTTTTTTCAGCGGCGTCGTTACTTTAAGCGGTCCCTAAGTAAGCTGTTGTAAGTTGACTGCCTGGACTGTACAAAAATCTTTTTTTGTGTGTATACCGTAGGTATACCGAATGCGTAGTATGTATGTATAATTGGGTTTTTCCGTATGAATAATTGCTTTTTTAAAGGAATATAAACACTGTCACAAACGAAAATCAATACGAAGTAAAAAGAGCAGGCAAGGAAAGCAAAGAAAAGGGCAAGAAGGAAGTAAATGACAAGGGAAAGAAGATGATTTATGCGCCTGATGACTGGATCGGAAGGATTAAGAGATCTGATGATACGATTAGGGAGATGCGGTGCAATCGGCATGACGGTTAGAACCGTAACCGCCGTCATGAAAATGTGGAGCCAATTCTTGGTATTTCCCCCCCCCTCCTTTTCCATGCCTTTCACGTCTTCGGGATCAGCCGCAGAACCATCTGCGGCTCCAACACGTGTCTGGGCAGGACACGCTTCTCCGGGCCCGCGTTGGCTGCGTTCACACGTTAGCCTTCCTATGGTTTCAACTCTCTTAGTTTTTCTTGGGGGGTGAAATCATTGCGTGTGAATGCAGGCGACGGGCTTACGAGTCGGGGTCAAGGGAGGGCTGCGCAAACCCGGGAAATGTTTTTTCAGATTCCAAGCCAAACCGACCCAGCTTTGAAGGAAGGGCAGCCTCCAACCCGCAGGGACGCCCCTTCGGGGACTTTCAGCGCCACGCAAGAGAGCTCCTGAGCATGTAAGGAGCGCTCCGCCGGGCCACAGGTGAGCCGGCGGGGCGGGGCGCCGGAGCGACGGCCGCGACGGCCAATGGGCGCGAGGGGCCGGGTGCCGCCCCGCGCGGCGGAGCGCCCGCCTCCCCCGCCGTTGACCAATGGCAGCGCGGCGCCGCGGCCGCCCTCCTCCAATGGGAGGCGCCTCCGCCCGTAACCGGGCGCCCGTGCGTGGGAGCCGGAGCGGCGGCCGGGCTGGACGGGCCGGGTCTATCCGGGCGCCCTCGGCCATGTGGAGCTGCGCGGGGCGCCGCCGTCGCCGGCTGCTGGCGGGCCTTCTGGTGCTGCTGCTGGCCGCCGTCGCCGTCCGCAGGTGAGGCAAGAGGGGGCGGGGCCGGGACGCCCCGCCCCCAGGCCGCGCTCCGGCCCCGCCCCCTCGGGGGACCCCTCTCCTCCTCCGGCCGCTGCCAAGCCCATCATCCCAAGGGTTCCCCTACCCATCATCCGCGCACCGGGGCTCCTTCCCTCCCTCTCTCCTCCTTCCCGGCAGCTGCTTTTCCCCTCCTCCCTCTTCTCCTGTGTCCCCTCCCCGCCACGGATGCAGCCCCCATCATCCCCAGCCGCCCCTTGGCCGACCTGCCAACCGCGAAACCCATCATCCACAGCCGGCGGGGCGGGGCAAGAAGATAGGCGGGGGGAGGGGAAGAAAGAACAATCCCCTGCCTCCCCCCATCCCACTCCCACCCCATCCCCTTAGGAGAGCCTCCCCCAGCCCCCTCCCCAGTTGCAAAGGGGACCTTCCATCTCCAACAGCATCTGCTCGGACTTTGCAGGAACATAAACTTACACCCTTACACACACACACACACACACACACACAGGCGCACAGCTATGCTTTATTAAAGCAGACTTCTCCCCACCTTCCAAAAAATGTTGTTTTTCTTCTCTGCAAGCAGCTTTCAAGCTTCCCTTTGCACCCCATCCCACCCACAGTGAGGTGGGCACATCTGCCTGTTGCAAACTTGGCATGGACTTTGGGACGATGCCAGCAGGGTCCAGGTTGAGATACCAGGAGAGGATGTCGGAAAGAGAGTGCACGCTCCGATCCATCCTGGGTCATCTGGCTATTTTGGGTAGACACCCCCCCCTCTTTCCTTGCACCTGCCGTTTTACAGAAAGACCCACAGATCTGCTGGGTAAGCCTGCAGGCCGCCTTGGCCAATGAGGACTTAGTGCCTTAATTGCAGCCCATGTGCGATTTGTTTTCTGTTGACCTTCAGTTGCAAGGGAGATGCGTTTATCAGCACAAATAAGGGATGGTTGCATCGCAGGAGAAATTGGACAAGTTAGTGCACCGCATGCCTCTTTCAGAGGTCTTATTATTAATAGCAATAATAGATTTTCATCCTGTCTTTATTCATTGATTAGATCTTAATCCTTCCTGTATTACTTTATAGGTAACTCAAAGCTGCAAAAGTTCCTCATACTCCTCCTTCCTCTTATTTTTCCCACAAAACAACCCTGTGAGGAAGGTTAGGCTGAGAGAGAGTGATTGGTCCAAAGTCACCCAGCTGGCATTCATATCTATGGCGGAACTAGCATTCACCACCTCCTGGTGATTGGCCCAAAGTCACCCAGCCTACTTTCATGCCTAAGACAGCACTTGAACTCATAACCTCCTGGTTTCTAAACTATAGCATCTTCACCGAACTGGCTTTCATGCAGAAAACCTAACACTAATACACTTGCCTCCTGTTTTCCCCACAACAACAGCCATGTGAGGTAGGCTGAGATGAGAAAGAATGACTGGCTAAAGTTGGTATGTGCATTTCCCCTGCTTCTTCGTGTCTATTGGATGGGCAGCGCTGCATGCTTCCTCTCCTGCTTACTTAGATAAATCTGGTGTTTGTTTCTAAATCAGTTCATGCAATTTGCTGAGAATGAAAACAAAATTCTCATATTGCTTGCAAACGAAAGAAAGCCACAGCCTTCTGGGAATTAACGCCATGGTAGTTTTCTGCTGGTAAAAGAAAGACGCTGGTGAATCTGAACGCGTGTTCTTCTCTGGTGTTTGTACTGTAGCAACATTCATACCAGTCTCATCTTACTAATAGTACACAAATACACAAGGCGCGCCAGGTAATTTTACACCATCCTGTTGATTTCAGATGACAGTCCTGCTACAACATATAATATTGCCAGATTCTCTGCAGCAGCACTCTTAAATTCATCAGAGGATGGCTTCTGGCTTAGGCTTGGGGGCCCAACAGTATACACTAGATTTCAGCGTGCATCTGGTTTGCTGTATTAGGGCACTCTGAAACTTAATACCAATAGTTTTCCGCTTGCTAACTTTTTATGCTCTTTTCTCAGTTGTTAAAGCATGTATTCAATTTGTGCATCTTTTATACCTTATAGCTTTTTATAACTCATTTAAATTCACCGTTTTTATATCCTTTATGCGGGCTTCCTTTTAAGGCTGTATCCTATTCCCTTACGACAGTCTCTATGGCTATAATAAAAATTGATTTGCTTTGATAAAGGGAAAAGTGATCCAGTCCATTCCTTTGCTTGCAAGTTGTTAAATAAAAGACCATTTTTGAAGATTGCCACTCTGAGGATTTCTTTCAAGCTCTATAAGGTCTAATACAATTTTTTTGTCGAGCTGAACAGAGATGTGTATATTTTAAATTGTGTTTTAATCACTTCCTTCTCCGTGGTCAAATAGGGAGAGAGAAACAGGGCATCCATCATGAAGTGCCAATCAAAGGCTGCCTTCCTGGTAGAGTAATTCTTAATTGGTTGTCATAATCAGTTTCATACCTAGTTAACGTTTCTTTCATGTTGAGCCTTCCATGTTGGACTATTTGTGTTTCCTGTGGGTTTTCTAAAAAAATGTACTAGAAACACAAAAAATAGTCTGGTGTATTGTGACCATAAACAAAAAAATTATTAGTATGAAAATAATTTCATCTCTCAGTTCATGACAGACACATGCAAAATATTCCCATCAAATGTCCAGTAGTTGATCAGACCCTTAGTGGGGGGTAAATGCATCCGTTTAGGTGAATATAAAAGCTATAAAGCTGTATATTCTTCATAACTTTATTATTACAAAGAATAGATAACTACAAAGAATAGATGGATTTTAAACTATAGAAAACCAACCTTCATTCTCTTAATAATTTGGGATCACAACTACACTCATCCCTTGCTGTTAACCTGCAGGCTAGGATTGATGGGAATTGGAGTCTTAACAGATTGGCCATCTGCTACCCTGTTATGACCCAGATTGGTACATCCTGATGAATCGGATTTTGCTCCTAGTTCCTTTCTCTTCTAGCGATATGTGCACTAGACAATTTAAGTCCTGCACCTATAAGAAAGCCCTTTTTTAAATTCTTTCTACTCTTCTGAGGTTGCCTTCCAACCTACTTGTGTTTCTGCTTGCTGGTGTACCCTCTTCCTAGGATGAATGCCCTTCCAAAGTCATGGCCCTATTTAGCTGCCTCCCTCTGTTAAAGCTGGATAACAAGTAAAGCTTGAGGTCAATGGGGCAAGTGGTTTGAGAAGCCCTCTTATTGGAATGTATTTTGAGTTAATCTCTCCTAGGATTGAATTAAACATTAAGGTCATGTTAGGCCCTTGGCAGGAGTGACTTCTGCAAAACAGGAGATTGCATGTAGTCCTCAATTTACGGCCACAATGGAGCCCAAAAATTCTCTTGCTAAGTGAGACGTTTGTTAAGTGACTTTGGCCTCATTTTGTTGCCTCGGCTCAGCTGTTCAGGGAATCACCGCAGTTGTTCAGTTAGTGACACGGTTTTTAAGTGAATCTGGTCTTCCCCCATTAACTTTGCTTGACAAAGGTTGCAAAAGGGGACCATCACATGACCCCAGGACACTGCGACCGTCATAAATATGAGTCAGTTGCCAAGGGACTCCATTTTGACTGCATGACCCTAGGGATGCTGCAACGGTCATAAGTCTGAAAAACGGTCATAAGTCATTTTTTTCCAGTGCCGTTGTAACTTTGAACGGACACTAAGTGAACCGTCGTAAGCCGAGGACTGTCTGTACAGTGCTTAGGATTGGATTTGGAAGAGGCGCTTTCAGAAGTGCTTTTGGGCAGATTTAGCATTAATCTGATACTGGTTAAAGCAGACAAATATTTTTCCCAGAATGGAAATTCAGAGAGATTTACACACATATGTTGTTCTATTTGATTTGGCTACTGTTTTATGTACACACCCGGGCAATATTCATTAATGTGTAAAAAAGAAAAAAAAACACCCAAAACTAAACCCTGATGAACACTGTCGATTTATAGTATATTTTTTAAAGATGTGATGTATGGTTTTTTTCTTTTTCTTTCCTAGCTTGCTTAGAGAGCTGGGTTACTTCTAAGAAAGATGTTCTCATTAGATTAAGCAGAGCAAATGATGCAAATTAAATTTGGAGGAAGATCAAAGATGACTGTGGGGGCAAAAAAAAAAAAAAGCGATGTCTACAAATTGACATTTTTGGGCAGCCGGTGGGGGCGTGGGCGTGGGTGTGGGTGTGTTGCCTTTCATTTGGAAAAGCTGAAATTGGGAACACTGACACTCGTAGGGGAAGCCCTTGTGTCTGTGTGTCTGTGTCTGCCATGCTGAATCAGTTAGTCCCTAGGGGAGAATTTTCCTGGCCGTTCTTCAAATAAAGAAAGGATGGCAGAGAGCAAGGCCATGTCAAGCTGGCTATGATTTAAAAGACTTTAAATAAGCAGGCAAATAAGAAATCCATTCCTCGCCTATCATCAAGAGTAATGGGCGAAGGAAGACATACTGCTGACGCTGTAAATCAGTTTTGTGTTGGACTTAATAGAAGCAGGTGTGACCTTGGTGCTTACAGGTGAAAGAGATGAATCTATACCTATTAAGTTCTCTGAGAGATGATAGACCTCTGTCAGTCATCCCATATCTTGCCTGTTCTAACCTGTCTAGGATATCTCAAAATTTCAAAGCTGGATCTTGTTAACTACACTATGTTTCTGCTTCGGGGCAGCGCAATGGTGAATAGAATGTGCAGGATGTGTGTATATAATGTTATGTTCTTATTTGTGGTTTTTACTTGTGTGTCATGTGCACTGTGGACAGCATTTAATTGCGTTGTGAGTTAGCCAGTGACAATAAAGATAACGATTCTATTCTATTCTATTCTATTCTATTCTATTCTATTCTATTCTATTCTATTCTATTCTATTCTATTCTATTCTATTCCCATCGTCATCCCCATATATTCTATTCTATTCTATTCTATTCTATTCTATTCTATTCTATTCTATTCCTATTCTATTCTATTCTATTCTATTCTATTCTATTCTTATTCCATATTCTATTCTATTCTATTCTATTCTATTCTATTCTATTCTATTCTATTCTATTCTATTCCCATCGTCATCCCCATCTATTCTATTCTATTCTATTCTATTCTATTCAGCGTTTTGCAGTGCCTGGGAATCCTACAGATCTTGAAAGATAGAAAGTCCTGTACAAATACTGTGAATTATTAGGTTGGCCTGCTGGCTCAAAATTTGCTTGGAGCAGGTAAGCCTCAATGCCAAGAACATTGGCCTTCACGGTGGACTAAATGTTGGCTAAAAAAAGGAGGTGTCTTGAATAAAAATAGTTCCCTTCTAGTTCATCCATGCAAAGTGTTTTGTTGGTTAAGGAAACAGGGCATGGCAGAATTCCGGATTCTCTGTGCCCCTTTATATTTGCTTCTTGCTTGACGACACAGCTGGGTGCTGCCAGAATGGCGTTGCAGACTGGAACATTTTAAACATTTGTGTCTGAAAACAGGCTCTGCATCGGCACACCTGCAGGGACCCATTCTTTTGCAGCGTCCCATTTTCCGCCGTCTGTTCAGTTACCTTTTTCAGGGTTTTCAAATCTGGGTTGAAGATTTCCTCCTGAAGCTGTGGTTCTCTCCCCCCCCCCCTCGCCCCGAGATCCAAAATAAAGCAGGCAGCATTCAAATTGATGAAGTAAAGGAGAATTTCCAAAGTTAAATCATGGGTGCTGAAGGGAAATAGAAAAGATTCTTCCTTTGGAAGGATAAACTTGAAGAAGGGCAAAGAAAGGCAGAAAGAGAGAGGTTACAAAATCCTGCCCTGTGAAATGGGTTAAATAGAGGAGAGAAGAGGCAAAATAGGCATAAAAGCTGGGTGGATGGGTGACTTTGGGCCGATCACCAGGAGACTGGGAGTTCTAGTTCCACCTTATGCACGAAAGCTGTCTGAGTAACTCTGGGCCGATCACCAGGCGACTGGGAGTTCTAGCTCCACCTTATGCATGAAAGCTGTCTGAGTAGCTTTGGGCCGATCACCAGGAGACTTGGAGTTCTAGTTCCACCTTATGCATGAAAGCTGTCTGAGTAGCTTTGGGCCAATCACCAGGAGACTTGGAGTTCTAGTTCCACCTTATGCATGAAAGCTGTCTGAGTAGCTTTGGGCCGATCACCAGGAGACTTGGAGTTCTAGTTCCACCTTATGCATGAAAGCTGTCTGAGTAGCTTTGGGCCAATCACCAGGAGACTGGGAGTTCTAGTTCCACTTTATGCATGAAAGCTGTCTGAGTAACTTTGGGCCGATCACCAGGAAACTGGGAGTTTTAGTTCCACCTTATGCATGAAAGCTGTCTGAGTAGCTTTGGGCCGATCACCAGGAGACTGGGAGTTCTAGTCCCGCCCTAGGCATGAAACCGGCTTTCATGCCTAAGGCGGGACTACAACTTACAGTCTCCTGTTGATTGGCCCAAAGTCATCCAGTTGGCTTTCATGACTAAGGTGGAACTAGAACTCACGGTCTCCCACTTTCTAGCCTGGTGCATTAACCACTGGATTAAGCTGACTCTCTAGCTGGCTTTGCTACTGTTATCCTTTTCCTTCCTTCCTGTTCAGGTTCAGCACGACGAACATAATTCCCATGCGGTTCTGGGGCCGGGTGCTGGGCTTGCAGGCAAAGCACTCCCAGTTCCTGCTGGAGGAGAAGCCCTTTCGCATCCTCGGCGGCTCAGTGCACTATTTCCGCATCCCCCGAGAATATTGGAAAGACCGCTTGGTCAAGATGAAGGCCTGTGGCCTGAACACCCTCACAACGTAAGGCTTGTCTCTTTCGCGGCTCCCTCAGCTTGGCCTCCTTGCTGACTCCATTGGAATATAGGTAGTCCTTGACTTAGGACTTGTGGCTTAGTGGCCATTCAAAGTTTATTTATTTATTTATTTAGTTTATTTTAATAAAATTTATATGCCGCCCAATCCCTAGGGACTCAGGGCAGCGTACAAAATTAAAACAATAAATATAACAATAAAAATAAGTGCATTCATACAGCATGTCCCAATCGTATCCCGGCCCCCCCGGGGACATCAACCCCAGGCCTGCTGGAACAGGAGAGTTTTAATGGCTTTCTTAAAGGCCGGCAAGGTGGGAATAGTTCGAATCTCGGGGGGGAGTTGATTCCACCACATCGGAGCCACCACAGAAAAGGCTCTTCCCCGAGGGCCCGCCAGCCGACATTGTCTGGCCGACGGGACCTGAAAGAGGCCCAATCTGTGGGACCTCACCGGTCTCTGGGAACTATGCGGCAGTATGCGGTCCTGTAAGTAACCTGATCCTAAGCCATGAAGGGCTTTAAAGGTGATAACCAACACCTTGAATTGCATCCGGAGACCCACAGGAAGCCAGTGCAGCTCGCGGAGGATAGGTGACACGTGGGTGTACCTTGGCGCGCCCACAATCGCTCTCGCGGCTGCATTCTGAACCAACTGCAGCCTCCGAATGCTCTTCAAGGGTATTCAAAGTTCTGACATACATGGGGTGTACTTTACAACCCAGGTTTGGTAGTTTTGATGGTTGGGGGAATCCCACAGTCACGTGACCACACATCGGGCACTTAGCAACCAGGTTGCGTTTACAGCTGTTTGCCGCATCCTGCAATCCGACAAGCACGTTTTAGCACATTTTTTGCCCAAACCTAGCATTTATTTCTGGTTTTCGCCCAAAGCCATACCCAGAGCAAACCATTGGTTCCCTTAAGAAGCCCAGCATTTCCTTAATGGCCATGGGGGTATGCTTAACAAAGTCGTAAAATTGGGTGTGTCGTGTGCCTTCCTTTGGGAGATATTTATTCACTGCCCTGTTCCAGGTATGTCCCTTGGAACCTTCATGAGGCCATCAGAGGAAGATTTGACTTCAGCGGAGACTTGGATCTGCAGTACGTATCTATCAGGAGATCTGCCTTTTCTTTAGGAAAGAAATCCCAGCAACGTAAAAATCTGTTTTCTTTCTTCTGATATAATAATAATAATAGTAGTAGTAAAGTTGGAAGGGACCTTGGAGGTCATCTAGTCCAACCCCCTGCTCAGGCAGGAAACCCTACACCATTTCGGACAAATGGCTGTCCAGTCTCTTCTTAAAAACTTCCAGTGTTGGAGCATTTACTGCTTATGGAGGCAGGCTGTTCCACTGATTAATTGTTCTCACTGTCAGGAAGTTTCTCCTTAGTTATAGGTTGCTTCTCTCCTTGATTAGTTTCCACCCATTGCTTCTTGTCCTGCCTTCAGGTGCTTTGGAAAATAGCTTAATTCCCTCTTCTTTATGGCAGCCCTGAGATATTGGAATACTGCTATCATGTCCCCCCTTGTCCTTCTCTTCGTTAAACTAGACATACCCAATTCTAGCAACCGTTCCTTATATGTTTTAGCCTCCAGTCCCCTAATCATCTTTGTTGCTCTTATCTGTACTCTTTATAGAGTCTCAACATCTTTTTTACATCGTGGTGACCAAAACTGGATGCAGTATTCCAAGTGTGGCCTTACCAAGGCATTGAAGAGTGGTATTAATACTTCACGTGATCTTGATTCTATCCCTCTGTTAATGCAGCCTAGCACTGTGTTAGCCTTTTTGGCAGCTGCAGCACACTGCTGGCTCATATTTAAGTGATTGTCTACTAGGACTCCGAGGTCCCTCTCACAGTTACTACTGTTGAGCATGGTGCCACCTACGCTGTATTTGTGCATATCAAAATTGCCTCTGCTGAACTTCTCATTCCTATACAGTACTGCAAAAAAGAGGGATGCTTTATATGAGCAAAAGCGTGAGGAGATGGTTTGAGTCGGAAATCAGATATACAGGAGGTTCTTGTGCTGTGGATTATAATAAAAAATGATCAGGGGACGGGCATTATGTACACTGTTTTGAGATGTATAAATAAAAGTAATATTTCAATAAAATCTCTATACGGCCATCAGCATAAGATCCTGATGGAGAGAGAGAGAGAGGATGACATTTGAGCCATGATAGCTATAACTTTGGCAAACTCTGCAAAACCTTCGACAGAACTTAGCTGGTGGGAAAATTCATTTCACATGAACTTGATTCTATAGCAATGGCCATAGCATTTAGACTTATATACCGCTTCACAGTGCTTTACAGCCCTCTCTAAGCAGTTTACAGAATCAGCCTATTTCCTCCAACAATCTGGGTCCGCATTTTACCAACCTCGGACAGGTGGAAGGCTGAGTGAATCTTGAGCCTATAGGAATCGAACTGCTGACAGCCGGCAGTCAGCAGAAATAGCCTGCAGTACTGCATTCTAACCACTGTGCCACCATGGCTCTATTCCCCTATTAATGCAACCTAGGATTACATTGGCATTTTTGGTGGCTGCAGCACACTATTGGCTCATATTTAAGTGATTGTCCACTAGGATTCCAAGATCCCTCTAGCAGTTAGTATTTACTCACATTTCATCTAATACAGTGGTTCTCAACCTTTTTAATGCCGCGACCCCCAACCGGTCGTAAGTCGAGGACTACTCAACCGGTCGTAAGTCGAGGACTATTCAACTGGTGCAGCACCGTTTGCAGAATGGGACTTTTGGCGGGCTCAGCAGGGCAGAGATAGCCTGGACAATTCCTATTGGCTTTTGAAAGGCAATAGAATTAGACTCTATTCAAGAGAGTCTATTCTATTGGCTTTCAAAAGCCAATAGAATAAAAGGGAGTAGCACAGCTAAGGAAAAGGGGGGGGGGAAATGGCGGACTGCGTTGTTGGTGACCCCCGTGAAATGGTCGTTCGATCCCAAATGGTTGAGAACCACTGATCTAATATATACCTGGCTCCTTTTTAATAATCCCACCATTCTGTAACTAGGTCTTTAGATAAAGTTGGTTTTTGAGCCCTGGTGGTGCAGGAGTTAGAATGCAGCAATGCTGGCTAACTCTGCCGACTGCAACAGTTTGATCCTGACTGGCTCAGGGTTGACTCAGCCTTCCATCCTTCCGAGGTCGGTAAAATGAGGACCCGGATTGTTGGGAAGCAATAGGCTGACTCTATGAACTGCTTAGAGAGGGCTGTCAAGCACAATGAAGCGGTATATAAGTCTAATTGTGATTGCTATTTTGAGCTTCCTTTGCTAAATTAGAGAGTGCTCTGCCTTTGCAGTGGTTTTGCCATTTCCCATTTGCTTCTCTAGGGCTTTTCTTAGGATAGCAGAAGAAGTAGGACTATGGGTGATTCTGCGCCCCGGACCGTATATCTGCTCCGAGTGGGATCTTGGTGGTCTACCCAGGTAAGTCTGAATGATTTTGACTTCTGGTTAAAATGTTACTCCTTAATGTGTGTCTGCAGCTTTCATAAGTCTACTTCTGAGGACAGAAATCTGATATTTAGAGCATAAATAGAACGGAGACGCTGGGACAGATGCAGCAGGGTAGAATGTAAGAGTCCAGGCAAACTGAGTCCTTTGCAATGGACCTTGTTTATCAAATATTATTTTATTTTAAATGTTCTACGTATCAGTAGGCTGTTTCTTCTGAAATGAAATGTATCCGGTCTGCATTGCTAATTTTGCTGTGTGTACCTTCTGATCCTTGCTTGTAATAAAGAATTAATTTGGTTTCATGATAGTAGCAAACCTTCTGCTTGGCATATTCCAAGGAACTGTCCTTCCAAATGATATTTATTTCGACTCAGAGCAGTGTTCCCCCATCCTTTCGCCTTCCTGACATTTTTAGATGTTGCAGTTTTAAAATATAAGTTGCGACTCCTAAACTGGAGAAGCCTGCCTTAAAAAGTTGTCCTGCAGCTTAAAGTTCTGTATTCCAGTGTCAGCCTTGTCCTTCTGTTTATTTCTTCCCCATTACAAGCTTAGCAAAGTGTTATATGCTCCCTCTTCTTTGTGAGAGCCACTAGATACTTAAAAAGTAGCCAATGGGCATATATATGTCTACGGAGGTTCTCAATCATCCAGGTGATGGTTGTCCCAAAGTTTTGGATTTTTTTCTGTGAAAACGTTCTGCTTCTCATTCCAGAACTGAAGAAGCCTCTTGAATGAGAAGCGAAACGTTTTCAGAGGAAAAAAAAAACATCAAGAAAATCCAGTTGCCTTTTGGAAAAAAGCAATTTTGGGATAGCCAACGGTCGCAACCTTTTAACCCAGCTGGGTTAAAAGACATTTCTTCTGCCTGGGGATTAGGGACCGCGAGGCTTTGAAACTGCTTCTGTTTTTCTGCCCCTCCCTCCCCAGGAATCCGTGCAAATGATGATAAGGAACGCCTCTTTGCTTCACCGGAGTCAGAAAATAGCTCTGAAGTCCTCCGGCGACACCCACTGCCTGCTCTTTTGGGTCGGAAGTTCAGGCCAAATTCCCCACAGAAACATTTCTCAAACAAATAGGGGGGAAAAAAAACCCAGCCATCTTTTAGAATGCAAGTTCCCTGTTTCTGGGTTGAAATTGTTAGAGAAGGTGTGTCAGCGAAGCCTGGCCTTCTGTTAAAGTTCTCCCCATCACACTTTGAAGCCGTGCACAAGCGACATTTCTACCCTGCAGTCCTGAGACTTAAAAGCAGGGTGGGAAGAGGGCCTGACGAATAGAGAAGGACAAGCTATCTTGGGAATTAGGAGCCCTGTCGTCAGAGCCAGGCAGATGGAGTAGGAAGAGGGGAGAAGGGAACAATAGGCCAGCTTTATGCAGGGTGACAGGGATGAGGACTCTGCCCGATGCCAGAGTGTTTTTCTTGCCACCCAGAATAAAAGCACCATTTGTTCCTTCTGCGTTCAATTATTCAGCCTAAAAGCATTTTCTGCCCTCCTTCCATTCACTCCCTCCCTCCACGCATATTTCACATAAAAGCAGTGGATAACGTTTTCAAGAGAATGACCCAGGCATCCATAACTGTGGAGAGCACAAGTAGGACATGTTGGTTTATTCTAGGCACGAAAAGCAGTGATTGCATCTAAGTATCTTGATTTCCAGCCTCCAGAGCCGACAGGGCAAGTGGAACATTAGTGGCTCAAGGTGGAACTGTGGGGTCCTGGGTGCTCTCTGAGCTAGGTTGTTTTCTTGCAGACGTTTCATGACCCAACTAGGCAACATCATCAGTGCTAGAAGGGAGTGGGGTTTGCTCTTTGTTAATATAGTAGTGGCTTGGAGAGATGGTTGTTTTCCTGTTAGTTCCTTGATTGGTCTGTCAAAACACCCCCCTCACCAGCAATTAACACCCAGATAACAAGAGGTTAACACCAGTGTTGATGACAGACCAACAATCAAGCAGGAAACAAAAGCCCAATCAAGGCAGCCCAGACTAAAAATCAAACAAAAAAACAACAGCCTAACCCAGGGGTAGGCAACCTTGGCTCTTTTATGACTCGTGGACTTCAACTCCCAGAATTCCTGAGCCAGCATGGCTCAGCTTGGAAACCTCTCCCTTTCCCCTCAGCATGGCTGGCTCAGGAATTCTGAGAGTTGAAGTCCACGAGTCATAAAAGAGCCAAGGTTGCCTACCCCTGGCCTAACCCAACAGCCACCAAGATCACTCCCAACAACAGTGACAGGGCAAGCCCCCCCCCTTCTAGCACTGATGATATTACCTTAGTTGGGTCATGTAAGATCTGCCAGAAGGCCACCAAGGAACTCCACACCAGCTCCACAAAGAGCACCAGAAACTCCACAAATGGGGTAAACTCTGGATTGGACTTGGCTGAGGAACTCAGCTGTAGAAAGAAAGGAAGGTGACCCTGAGCTTTCGGTCTGGATCCGGCTATAGGCAGCATGGACGTGCCAGGACTGTTCTAGGTCAGCACCTGCCACTTACAATCTCAATGAAGACAAGGGTTGCCAGTTCCAATTTTGGACTCTCCACAAACCTTTCTATGTATAATTTGCTAAATGACCCCCAAGGAAGCTTTCTCAGTTTATTGGCCCTCCACTGCCTTTGGTTACCATCTTGATGTGAGTTATATTCTAGAACAGGAGTGTCCAACCTTGGCAACTTGAAGACGTGGAGTTCAACCCACCGAATTCCCCAGTCAGCTCTGCTGCCAAATGTTGGGCACCCTCGCTCTAGATTAGAACATCCAGGGGTATCCGTTAGCTTCTCCGCTTATTCTGAATATGATAGACCAGTGATGGCGAACCTTTTAGAGACCGAGTGCCCAAACTGCAACCCAAAACCCACTTATGCATTGTCGAGTGCTGGGTGGGTGTGGCCCATTGGGTGGGCATGGCTGCGATGGTAACGGCAGACTGGGTGGGACTAAAAAGTTCAATCAATCAATTCCAACTTTGCAAGAACTTTTTTTTTCCCGCGAGAAGTTGAAATTGACTGATTGAACCTTTTTTTTTTTTTTTTTTTGCACATGGCGGAGGCCTAAAGCGGAAAGGTTTTATAAAACCCAGCTGAAGGCCTAGGACTGGGGCGACGATGCGTGTGCCCACAGAGAGGGCTCCGAGTGCCACCTCTGGCCCCCGTGCCATAGGTTCGCCACCACTGTGATAGACGAACGCTCAACTCCGTAAAAGCCAAGTTTGATAGAAGGAGGCTTTGTTCTTTGACTGTGACCATCAACCTACAGATGACATTTCTGTGGGGATTCTCAGTCACCCAGGTCATGGCTGTCTCAAAGGTGCTTTTTCAGGAGGCAACTGGACTTCCTTGTTTTTCTTTGAAAACGTTTCGCTTCTCATCCGTGAAGATTCTTCAGCTCACGCTTCCATTCCCCACCGTCCAGTCAGAGCCGAAGGAGCATCTTGGATGAGAAGCAAAACGTCTTCAAAGAAAAACAAGAAAGTTTAGTTGCCTCCTGAAAAAGCACCTTTGGGACTACAGATGATGTGTTGCACTGTACAACATTTCACAGAAACTGCCCTTAGACTGGGAATTTAACCTGTGTGGGATGATTTGGCCTGCATTTTTGGCTGTTTCTCCAGATACCTCCATCTTCCTTTCTAGTTACTGGAACGAATGGCTGACTTCCTTAGCTGTGTTACTTTTTTATTTTCCTTCATTGGTTTTATTTCTTCCCTCTGGGGATAACCTGTTGATGCCAGACCCTAAAGCAATACTCTCGTTGAGTCCATCGTCATCTCTGAAAATCCTTCCTAGTTACCGGATCCCAAGGGGATGCTCGACACTCACCTGTCCTACTTATTTGTTTTTTTTTTCCACTTGTCTTTGCCCCCAGAGATTGGATGTCTAGAGAATCTTAGCTCAAAGAGAGTTTTTCCCTCTTAACCTTCCCCATCTTCTCTCTCTTCACTTTTCAGTGAGCTGACTCTGAGTTGGTTTTCTATAATTCCATGCCGTTGCATATTTTAAATGTTTTCAGATATTTAAACCTGCAATTTAAGGCTGATTTAGAAAGGATGAAAAAAAACATGCCTTGCATGCTAAGGCAAACTTACCCAATTTGAACTTGTATTCAAGGCCAATGCAGTCTTATGCAAAAAATATCTCCCCCTTTTAAATTCAGAAATCATGAAATGTGTATAGATATTAAGAAAAAGTGCACATGGTCATTTCTGTGGGAAAAATGTCAACGTGAAATTATATTGCATTAGGAAGAGTTTAGAAAATGCATAGGTAAAGTGAGTAGAAAAAATATTATATTACGCCTATTAGAACTATCCAAGGTTTTCCCTCCCCTTTTCTTTCTTTCTTTCTTTCTTTCTTTCTTTCTTTCTTTCTTTCTTTCTTTCTTTCTTTCTTTCTTTCTTTCTTTCTTTCTTTCTTCCCTCCCTCCCTCCCTCCCTCCCTCTTTCTTTCTTTCTTTCTTTCTTTCTTTCTTTCTTTCTTTCTTTCTTTCTTTCTTTCTTCTTTCTCCATTCTAAACAGGTGCAACATAATCATTTTTAGCCACTTTTCCTAAGATGTGTGTATGTCTGTGTGCGCGTGCTCGCATATGTATTAATATTTTAAAAAACTTCTTTAAGCATTTAAAAACAATTTAAAACCAAGCTGAATATCCAGTCTGCCCCAGCCCATTTCTTTCAAGCCCGCTTAAGAATGGGGGGGGGGGGAAGCAAAAACTGCCAGGGGTCATGAGGGTTTTTTTATTTCATCTTCTCCTATTTTAATCAATGATCTGATCATCCTCCTTCCTAGCTGGTTGCTTCAGGATCCTGAAATGCAGCTGAGGACAACCTATAAGGGTTTTACTGAGGCTGTAGATTCTTACTTTGACCACCTGATGCCCCAAGTGGTCCATCTTCAGGTAAATAACATCACCCCCTTTGTTTACTTATTCCTGGGGTTTCTTTCTTTCTTTTTTTTAAATCACACAATCTTTATCGCACCAGAATTGAAAACCAGGTAGAGGCTATCCTGTCCACACGCCCCAGATTAATTTTCTAGACCTTACAGGGATGCTATTGAATGTTCAAAGGTATCTTGCAATTGGAAAGGTCAGTGGTAGGGAGAGGATAGAGCAGATACTTTTGATTTGCAACATCTCTGCCTGCTGAAAGCATCCTTGACAGAGGGAACCTTTGGTTTCCCATTTTTCGTGTTCTGGTGAGGTTCAGAGGTTTTTCTAAGTCACTTTTAAAGTGGAACTTCAGAGCAAGCCATGGAGAGACAAGGCAAAACTGTACAGAGTCCTTCTCCATTAATCTTCCCAAATAAAGTAATTAGATCCGCCAGCTGCTCCCTATCTGCTTATGTTCTCCTGCTTCTCTTCCTAGTACAAAAATGGAGGGCCAATTATAGCCATGCAGGTGGAGAACGAATACGGCTCGTACGCCCAGGACCAAAATTACATGGCCTACATAAAGCAGGTAAAGTTATCCATCTCCTTTGAAGTTAAAAAGAAATGCTGCTGATACACATCACATAAAAGCAAAACAAGTACACACCTACACACACACACACACACACACACACACACACACACACACGAGTTGAAACATCCAAGAGTTGATCTGATTGATCCCATGAAACTGGAGTGATATTTGTTAAATTCCTTAAACTTAACATGCTGTCCGTCTCATTATCCACCGCCTCTTGCTAACAAACAAAAGAGTAATATAGTAATATGAAAGTTACAGGGAAGGAGAAGCTGGTTAAATAGTAGGATGGTTTTATTTTGTACCTTTTAATTTATTATTTTTTAAATGTGTTGGCTGCCCATCTCCAAAGTTCCTAATAGTTCTAGGAAGACATGTGAAGGTTAGACATCCATCCATCCATCCATCCATCCATCCATTCAGTGGGGCCGCTTTAATTCGGATTCTTGCATGGAACAAGGGTGGAACTCCACGGTTCCTTCCCACTCTAGAACACAGGGATCTCTCCTTAAAAAGATTCCTGAGCTTTCTTGCAAACACAAAGAGATCTCCGGGCCTTGAGCCATTTGGAACCGGGCTGCTGGCGTGTCAGGCGGGCTTGCCACTCACATGAACGAGGCGGCACGCTCACAGATGCTTGCCTGCCACTTGTGGGAAACAATCCCTCTTTCCCCCCCCCCCTCACCTGCCGGTCCACAAAGCTGAAAAGTTTCTGAAGCAAATAGCTTGAGACTCATAAAATGAACCTTTGGCACTGTAGCAAAAGACGTAGCGCTTGCTCCTTTGTTGTAGATTACTTTGCGAACCAAACCGAAGCTGCTTTGTAAAACCCGGTAATCTGGAGAGGCCGGCTAATTTGATTAAGGTTCTCCTTCTGCCATCTCATCCAGCAGAGGACTTTGCAGGTCACCGCCTGTGTCCTGGGCAGGCAGGCAGGCAGGTGCTGAGAGAGGATCAGTTTAAAGCTTGGGAAATTCCACTCACGGTGGGCCCTCGTCCCTTATCTGGAGGAAACGTCGGTGCAGAGGCATTAATGCCAGGGTTACCTGGCTGGATTTACAACAGCGACTGTTCAAAGTTACAACGGCACTGAAAAAGGTGGCCTACTGCCAGTCCTCTCTCTCTTGTGACAGTCGTTAAGCGGGTCACTATGTGACCGCACCTGATTTTAGCGCCTTTTTGGCCCTGGTTGATAAGTGAATACTAAGGTCGTTAAGCAGACTCATTGTTCTCAATGAGATGGGGGAGGGGTTGCCTGAAATCGAAAATAAACGCAGTTTCCAGCAAAACATTTTAAATCTTGGCCATGTGACCACAAGACACTGCAAACCACCATAAGGTGGCCAAATGCCAAGAGGCCTGAAATTTGTGGTCATATGACCGCAGAGAGGAGAGTGGCATTGTCAGAAGTTTGAATCCTAGGTTGCAAGTAGTTTTTTTTTTTTTTAGTGTGTGGGGGGGTGGCTGTAATAACTTTGAATGGTTACTGAAGGACCATTCGTAATTCGAGGACTACCTGTTCCATGTTTCTTTTCTAGTTGTTCAAGTTGGGCTATCAAAGTCTTGGCCATTGCAATATACAGATGTGTCTTTGCAGCCGCCCTGTGGTGGCCTGACGTTTTGCAACCCAGATCTGTAATCCTGGTTTATATTTGTGATCCAATAAAAAGGATGCACAGAAGGCAATTTGTAACGATTGGGCAGGAAATCCCGAGGCCTCTGCATGGATCAAGGCTAGCATCAGAAATGCCTTGATGAACAGCAGGGGTTTTCCAGCTTCTCTTGGTCCTCGTAACATCTGGGTCAGAATGTCTGTGAGGATTCTCAAACATCCAGGTCCTGGTTGTCCCACAGGTGTTTTTTCAAAAGGCAGCTAGCTGGCCTCTTCCTTGGTTTAACTTCAGTTAGAACTGAAGAAGCTTTTTGGATGAGAAACAAAACAAAACCACGAAAGGCCAGTTGCCTTTTGGAGAAGCACTTTTGGGAGATCTGGGTCAGAATCACACTGGTCCCGGAAAGAGTAACTCCCTTCAAACCATGGTTTGTTCCTGATCCCGGCTTCTTCTGGGATATCAGCTCTAAACTTCAGCATGCTGATTTTTCTTTCTCGCAGGCCTTGTTAAGCAGGAATGTGGTGGAATTATTGATGACCTCGGATAATAAAGATGGCCTGAATGCTGGCACCGTAGAAGGAGGTAACTTGGGTTATTCTGGAGCAAAGTTGTGACTGAGATTAAAAAAAAAATACGTGGTACGGTATCACCTATCTGCTACGATTTTACAAAAATTGTAAAAAAAAAAAATGTAAATTTGGGGGTTTTTGTGTTTAAATACATGTGAGTAACCAGCAGTGCTATAAAGTATTTGCATGCCATAGAAAGCTTTTGAAATTATTCTTCTATTTAAGGCTCAGAATATGTGTACAGGTAATCCTGGAATTGCAACTATTCGTCTAAGCCAGGGGTGTCATCCGGAAGCCGCGCCCACCCCATTGCCGGCAATGGCAAAACCATCCCGATGCGTTGCGTAATGTCACATGACATCGCGAGTTTGACATTTCTGGTCTAAGCAAACATTCAAAGTTTCAACAGCATTGAAAAAACAGACCTACCGCCAGTTGATTAAAAATACGATTTAGAATTTTACTATCTTTGTTTCTCCCCTCCCCCCCCCATTTTACTTTGCCAATAAAGCCTCTAATCCTACTGGAAGTAGAATAAATTTGTGAGGCTAATGAGAAAGAATTTGGATATATAATGCTTAAAATTGCTAGACTTGCCTGCATGGTTTCTGACACCCAATTGTTATGTCCAATTTTCCTTACTCTATGCCGACTGCACGCAAAGGATGAGTGCATAAATTATACGGCCGGCTTCCAGAATGGGTTTGTGTGTGCGTCTTTGCCTACTAATTTATTAAAACTTATTTTCATTCCATTAGTATGCTCCAGGCAAGTAACCCAATCAGATATGCAGAAAGAGCTTCACTAAATCTAATCAAAATGATAAGATGAACTTCATGATGACACATCGCAATGCTCTGGTACAAAATTAAGGATTTGGCCCTCTCTGCAATTAACAGAGAGATGGCCAAACCAGAGGCCAGAATGAATAAATGAATGAATGAATAAATAATGAAAAAATAAATGGGAACTAGGTATGTCTAATCTAACGAAGAGAAGGACCAGGGATGACTTGGTAACTGTCTTCCAATATTTGAGGGTCTGCACAGGGAAGAGGGGGGGGGGTCAACTTATTCTCCAAAGCACCTGAGGGCAGGACAAGAAGTAACGGATGGAGACTTATCAAAGAGACATCCAGTCTAAAACTAAAAGGAGAAATTTCCTGACAATGAGAACAATTAGTCCATGGAACGGCTTGTCTCCAAAAGTTGTGGGTTCTCCATCCTTGGAGGTTTTCAAGAAGAGACTGGACAGCCATTTGTCCAGAGTGGTATAGAACGTCCTGCTTGAGCAGGGGGTTGGACTAGAAGACCTCCAAGGTCCCTTCCAGCTCTTTAACTCTGTAAATAAATCTGTCCTGGGTTTTCTTTCCAAGGCTTAGTACAAATCATGTCGTTTTCTTGCATCATTCTTTTGCCCAATCTAACGTGGAGATTCTCTTTGCTTGCTTCAAAGCAGAGCCACTTGCAAGGCCCACATTAATAAACCGTGAGCGTTCAGGGCTGCTTCCTGTTGCCTTTGCCCTTTTGAAACGCAAGTCCTGAGCAGGCTGCCCATTTGAGCTATGGCATCCCACTTAAATTGATTTCTCTTTCTCTAAGTTGCAGCTATCCCCGTCTGGTCCATGTGGGGTCGCTCTCTCCCTTCTAATAGTAGGGACAATTGGGGGGGGGAGGGAGAAAGAGCTTTGAGCCTTGTTCTGTGTTTTTGCACGAATGTGTTGACTTGCCTGCGAGCGCTTGCTCGCTCTTCTCTCATTCATCCCCTGGCTGGGAGTTGTGTATTTCCCGGCGGGCTTGTGTGCCTCGGCCCCAGCCCCTGCTTCAGATGTCACAACAATCTGCTCATTAGAGTCAACATGTCAAGTAATCAGGAATGCGGAATAACTAGGGCCCTGAGTGATGCAACGCTGACAGCCTCGGAAGAGGTGGCCCTGAGAATGCACAAAAGGGTGAATAAAAGGCAGGCTGGGGGAAAAAAAAGGAGAAGAAAGGAAGAGTGGTCTGTTGTTGTGGCTTGTTGCCCGCAAGAGAAAATGTCATCCTGGCTAGTTTAGGTGCAGTTCTGTCACTCTCTCTCTGCCTGTCCTGTTGAATTTTGCACCCTGGATTTTACATCTGTGCCGTGTGAGGTCTTGGTTTTGGAAAGAACTAAGCCACTAGTCCTTCTGGCCTAAAGTATGTTGTGTGTTGCAATTGTGCCTGTCTTGAATAGACATTACAGGTAATCCTTGACTTATAATATTTCATTTAGGGACCGTTCAAAGCAGGGGTCTTCAAACTTGGCAACTTTAAGACTTGTGGACTTCAACTCCCAGAATTCCTCAGCCAGCCCTGAGGGGCTTCTTGTCCTGCCTTCAGTGCTTTGAAGAATAGCTTGACTCCCTCTTCTTTGGGGCAGCCCCTGAGATATTGGAACACTGCTATCATGTCATCCCTGGTCCTTCTCTTTGCTTAAGAACCATGGCCAAAAAGGTCATACGATTGGGCATGACACCCTTAACAACTGCCTTACTCAGCCACAGAAATACTGGTCCCAGTTATACTGATGTCAGAATCCAATTATATTTCATCTTTAGTTATCAACTATAGAAAACCCCATTTCTGCCTTCCCTGGATTCTGCCATATGGTGAAGGGAAGGGGGTGAACAAAGGGGCTTTATGGCCCTCACTTCCTTCAATACACTTCAAAGAAACTGAATGTGGATAGCACCAAAAGGCCTAATCATAACAAAGGGGGCTATTACCTTTCATGTAGTTTTCTCTGAAGTCTCCAGCCAGCCAGCAGTAAGGAAAAGGGGGTGGGAGTGTAATGCCTGAGACTGTCGCTGGAAGAATGGGGTGATTGGGTGGGGCTGCTGGGGAACCCCTTAAAACCTCGAATGGGAGAGCTTGGACCCCAAGTCCTGTCTAGAACGCCTGCAACCATTTTCTCTTAATAAAGGATGCCTGTTGGAAGAATTATTCCAAGAGTTCTGTCTTCTTAAGATGCAAAATGGGGTGGGTCCTTACATATACTCCATAAGTCAAGGATTACCTGTGGATTAACTGCTGTTGGTTGTAGCCTAGTTGAAATCTTTTCTTTTTCTGCCCATTTTCCCTCTTTCTCAATAGCTTTGGCCACTATCAACTTTCAGAAGATGGAGCCGGGACTTCTGTCCTCCCTCAACAAACTGCAGGTAAGGAGACGGCTTCCCAAGGTCAGACATTTTAACTTCTAATGCTCTTGTTGTGTGTTTTATGGTCTGAAAATAAGGAGGGCGCCAACTGCAAAAAAAAAGCCAAGTTTTCTGATTCCTGGAACTGTATTAATCACTGCCTTCCAAGCGTAAATCCTTCCCCGGTTTCCTTGGGGTACATTTCCCGCAGCCCAAAATAAAAACGGTCATCAGAGAGCCATAATTGGTCGCTGCTCAATTGTGCCCCAAAGAATTTATATCCAGACAGAGTTGGCTTTCGGGAAATAGATTTACTTTATGTGCTGGGGGAGGGCTGTCTTCATCCTTCTTGTCAGCCATCAGTAAATAACCCGCTGAGCAGCTCATTGATTCCTCTGCTGGTCCAGGATCGGGATGTGAAGAACGTCATTTCCATTTTCATTGAAACCCATCCTCGTGTTCTGTGTTCATTTGATTTTTAAAAAATGCATTTGTTCTCTGATCTTCACCCAGGAGGTCTTTCAAAGTGGCTTATATCTCAATAAAACGAGATAGTTCTTGGCCTATAGGCTCGAATTCTAAAAGATACAGCATTCAAGGAAAAAGAGACGGGAAAGAACAGAGAAAAAATGAAAATTCAAGGATGAGTATTATGGGTATTATGGCTCAGGAGACTAAATTCTAGTCCCGCCGTAGGCATGGAAGCTGGCTGGGTGACTTTGAGCCAAGCACCAGGAGATGGTGAGTTCTAGTCCCGCTTTAGGCATGAAAGCCGACTAGGTGGGCCAATTAGCAGGAGACTGTGAATTCTAGTCCTACTTAGGCATGAAAGCAGACTGGGTGACTTTAGGCCAATTACCAGGAGACTGTGAGTTCTAGTCCCGCCTTAGGCATGAAAGCCGACAGAGAGACTTTGGGCCAATTACCAGGAGACTGTGAGTTCTAGTCCCGCCTTAGGCATGAAAGCCGACAGAGAGACTTTGGGCCAATTACCAGGAGACTGTGAGTTCTAGTCCTGCCTTAGGCATGAAAGCCATCTGGGTGACTTTGGACCTATCACCAGGAGACTGTGAGTTCTAGTCCCGCTTTAGGCATGAAAGCCGACTAGGTGGGCCAATTAGCAGGAGACTGTGAATTCTAGTCCTACTTAGGCATGAAAGCAGACTGGGTGACTTTAGGCCAATTACCAGGAGACTGTGAGTTCTAGTCCCGCCTTAGGCATGAAAGCCGACAGAGAGACTTTGGGCCAATTACCAGGAGACTGTGAGTTCTAGTCCCGCCTTAGGCATGAAAGCCGACAGAGAGACTTTGGGCCAGTCACCAGGAGACTGTGAGTTCTAGTCCCGCCTTAGGTATGAAAGCCAACTGGGTGACTTTGGGCCAGTCACCAGGAGACTGTGAGTTCTAGTTCTGCCTTAGGCATGAAAGCCGACTGGGTGACATTGGGCCAAGAAGCAGAAGACTGTGAGTTCTAGTCCCACTTTAGGCATGAAAGCCGACTGGGTGACTTTGGGCCAATTACCAGGAGACTGTGAGTTCTAGTTCTGCCTTAGGCTTGAAAGCCGACTAGGTGACTTTGGGCCAATCACCAGGAGACTGTGAGTTCTAGCTCTGCCTTAGGCATGAAAGCCGACTAAGTGGGCCAATTACCAGTAGACTATAACTTCTAGTCCTGCCTTAGGCATGAAAGCCAACAAGTGAGCCAATTACAGTAGACTTTGAGTTCTAGTCCCGCCTTAGGCATGAAAGCCGACTGGGTGACTTTGGGCCAATCATGGGGAGACCATGGTTTGACAGCTGCCTAGGCTACCCAAGAGAGGACTTCAAAAGGTGGGTTTGCCCTTTTTCAGCGCGACATGCCAACGATGGTGATGGAGTACTGGACTGGTTGGTTTGACAGTTGGGGAGGACCTCACAACGTGTTTGACGCGGATGGTAAGTTCTTGGCTGGTGCAATTCCTTTCCCACCTGCTTCAAAGCAGAGGCGAAGAACAAGCTGTTCAAACTTTACTAACTTCGAACAGGCTGTTCTTTGCCGCTGCTTGGAATGTTTACACTTCCATTTTCTGAGATCACCAGCCGCTCAGAGTCCGGGTGGCAAATAAATTTGATAAATAAATAAATACATTTTGATAGCAGCGCCTCAGTTGCGGACTTCTGCTCTTAACGGTGAATCTGATTTGGCTTTCACGCGCCCAGGGGAAGGGAAAAAAAAACCCTCTACATTTATTTTTAATGTTTTGAAGCTTTTAATTCCTCCTCAGGTTTTATGACTCCTTTAAATATAGCCCGTTGCCCCTTTATGGTGCAGCAATTTCAGCTGGTTTAATTCAAGCTGTCAAAAGAGACCTTGAGCTTCCAGCCCTGAAAAATGGATGGCAGAACAAAAACTCAACAACATCATTTTAATTTTCAATGCGAAGATATAAACCGTTCTTCTCCGCTCCCCAAGAAGAATCACCTGGGGTTTTTTTTCTCTCTCCTTTGGCTGTGGGAGTTGTAATCACTGAACGAGAATAAAAGTACAAAGTACAAAGAAAAGTAGAAGATATTCAATGAGAGTTATTTTCAAGCATTTATTTTTGAATTCAGTGTTGGGGCTAACTGACTTTGGCTTATGATTAAAAGGACGCAATGTAGTTTTATATATATATATATATATATATATATATATATATATATATATATATATATATATATATATATATATATATATATGGGTACAGGTGACTGGACGATCTGTGCTTATCACAAAAATAGCCAAAAGTCATAGGAAATCAGTAACTATCCTGGGAAAACATCCATAGTTTTAGTGGTGGTAGTTAGAGGCCTACAGGGAGAGGCTGTTCCAGAGGGTGGGTGTAAACGTGGCAAAGCAAAGTCCCATTTTTAACATTCTTTGCAAGGTCAACTCCTGGAAGGATTGCTTGCTGATTCTGCTTCAAAAGGATGTAAACACTTAACACAATTCCACATACTGGAATTGGCTGTAGAGACCCATGTTCATAAGCCCAGTTTAGCATGTGGGTTGATTGAGTGATTTGGGAACAGCTTACCCCCAGAAATCATGGGCGTTCCATCACTGGAGATTTTTAAGAAGAGACTGGACAGTCACTTGTCTGAAATGGTATAGGATCTCCTGCTGGAGCAGGGGGCTGGACTAGAAGACCTCTAAGGTCCCTTCAAGTTCTGTTCTATTCTATTCCATTCTATTCCATTCCATTCCATTCCATATTCTATTCTATTCTATTCTGTAATTTCTATTCTGTAATTTGTATTCTGTTCTGTTCTGTTCTGTTCTGTGTATGGGATTGCTCATCCACAGCCTAACTCATATCACAGGGTTCTTGTCTATGGGGATTCTCAGTCATCCAGGATATGGTTGTCCCAAAGCTGCTTTTTCCCAAAGGCAGCTGGACTTTCTTACTTTGTTTTTTTCTTTGAAAAATAATCAAATCCTTCCATTTCCCACCAGTCAGTTAGAACCGAAGAAACTTCTTGCATGAGAAGCAAAACGTTTTCAGAGAAAAAAACCCAAGAAACCCAGGGATCTTGTAGTAAGCTTGCTCATTGTGGTCTTAAGTCGTCACAGTCATGAAGCAGCCCCAAAGGTGCTTTTTCAAGAGGCAACTGGATTTCCTTGTTTGTTTTTTGAAGACGTTTCACTTCTCATTCCAGAAGCTTCTTCAGCTCTGAAAACGTCTTCAAGGAAAAACCAAGAAAGTCCAGCTGCCTCTTGATAAAGCACCTTTGGGACAACCATGATCTGGATGACTGAGAATCTCCATAGTCAGTCATAAAGCAGGTCATTACCCGGCTATCCTGGTTTTAGGATTTGTTTTTGTAGTCATTGTTGAGCAAATCACCCGGGTTGGTTAAAAGAATCCGTAACTCTTCAGCAAATCCATTGTTTGCGACGTGGCATTTTTGCCAAAAACCGGAAGTAAACAGCAAGCTTTCAGCAAAAATGTCGTAAATCACAGTCATGGTGACAGGACACTGCAAATGACTATAAATGCCAGTTACATGACCACAGGTGAGGGATCCGCCCCTCAGAACTTTAGAACTGGGCCGTAAGTATCTTTAGAGGAGGTCTTCACAGCTATGAACAGTTGCTGAGTGACCGTCGTAAGTCGAGGACTTCTTGCATAAAGTCAAACTGCAATAGTAGCAAGATTAACATCCGGTGCCATGCGACACTCGAAGCTTTGTTTGTCTCTGCAGAGATGCTGGAGAGGGTTGAAGACGTTCTCCGATTAGGAGCATCCATCAATCTCTACATGTTCCACGGAGGGACCAATTTTGGATTCATGAATGGTGCTCTACATTCTGACATCTACAAGGCAACCATCACCAGCTACGGTAAGGTTCCATTGGCTGGCTTGCAAGGGATGCTGGGAGGTTCAAAGCTGAAAAGTTCCACTTAGTTCCCAATTAGGAAAGCGCCTAGAATGGAACAATCTCACTTTGGAAGAAGGAGGAGCTTTCCTGAAGTGACGGTCATTTAGCCAAGTGACAGGTGTCACTGGTATCTTGTTCGAATGAATGTCAGAAATGCGATGGGGAACAGTTTCAAATCTTCAACAAGCCCTGACGCTTGTAGAGTTGGAAGAAAGCAAATAAGATGATTAAAGGCCTAGAGATTAAAACATATGAAGAACAGTTGCAGGATTTGGGTTTGGCTAGTCTAGAGAAAAGAAGGACTGGGGGGGGGGGAACATGATCGCAGTCTTCCAGTATTTGAGAGGTTGCCACAAAGAGGAGGGGGTCATTTATTTTCCAAAGCACCAGAAGACAAGACGGATGGAAACTCATCAAGGCGAGAAGCAACCTGGAATTAAGGAGAAATTTCCTAACAGTGAGGACAATTAACCTGTGGAACAGCTTGCCTCCAGAAGTTGTGGGTGCTCCATCACTGGAGGTTTTTAGGAAGAGACTGGACTGCCACCTGTATCAAATTGTATAGGGTCTCCTGCTTGAGCAGAGATTGGACTAGAACACCTCCAAAGTCCCTTCCAGCTCTTTTCTGATCAAATAAAATTGCTACAATGTCCTACCTGCGTTTGTACAGTGAATTTAAGAGTGGGCTAAAAATCAGATGATGGGTATGATTGTCTTATAATGTGGCATGAATCAAGCTATCACAATATGCCACAATACAGGACTCTCCAAACCTGGCCACTTTAAGACTTGCTGGCTGACGAATTCTGGGAGTTGAAGTCCACAAGTCTTAAAGTGGCCAAGTTCGAACACCCTTGCCATAATAGGCTTCGTTTTCGCAAGCAAAAGGCCGTTTGGAGAAAACAAAAGTTGTGTTTTGTTAATCAAGTTTAAGATTGAACATGTTATCTGAGCTGTGGCTGGGCTCTTATATCATCTTTTCTCTGGTTACTAAATGAACCCGTTTTTTAAGGGTCTCTTAATTCAAGCTGAACTGATCAACTGGCCCAATGGGAACAGAAAGCCCAAAAGATTAAACCTGGATTAAAACTATCCAAGGAGAATATTTGTAGCTCAGGGTTGATATGAGGGGTGCTTGGTGCTCTCTGAGATGGGTTGTTCTCTTGCAGACATTTCGTTACCCAAACTAGGTAACATCATCAGGGCTAGTGATCAGTGCTAAGGTTAGCCTGTGGTGAGAATGTCAACATTGGGATTGTTCCTAGCCTGGTTAAGAGGGTTTGGTGAATCCAGCCTCTCTCTCTCTCTGTGTGTGTATGTGTATGTTTGTATGTGTTGTTCTTGTAGTGATTTCCTTGACATGCACCTATAAATAAGGTAAACTATTTTTTTTTTTTTGCTACCTGCTCTACTTTTGTTTTTTTCAGATTATGACGCCGTGTTGACTGAGGCTGGAGATTACACCGCCAAGTACTTTAAACTGCGCAAGCTTCTTTCCAGCATGATGGGTAACTGCATGAAAGAAGGGGCGGCTTCCCTGCCCTCTCTAAATGCTGGGGGGGGGGGGGCGGAGGAGTCCAGTTTGAAAAACGGACTCTCCCCCAGTGGGTGTGTTGGGCCCCCCTGCTTGCTTCCAGTGCAGCTTCATTCTGTTGATCAGCCAGTGGGGCTGCTTTCAGCAGAGAGGGGAGAGGATGGAAGGAGCGGGGGGGGGAGTTTTGTTATGAGACTGGCCCTTGGGGGGCTTCCAAGGCGGTGGTGAAGGATGAGTCCTTATAGCCACATCATTGGTGGACTTAAAGCAAATGCTGACTGGAAAGAGGAGAGAGGCAGCGGAGGGGAGGGAAGAAGGAAGGAAGGAAGGAAGGAAGGAAGAGGGAGGGAGGGAATGGAAAGGGGAGGGGAGGGAGGGAGAGAAAGCTTTGTACATCCTCCCTTTTTTCTTCCTTCTTTCCTTCCTTTGATCCTGGAGAAGAGGCTGTTTCAATGCAGTCACCTTTGAGTCGGGCTCCATTCTGGATGAATACATTCCGGAATTTTCTTGGTAGCACAGTAGCTCAGTGTTTTACCATTGCTTTCCTCCAGGGTGTGAAGTTCTTGTTGTTTTTTTTCTTTTTCATTTTAACCAGTTTAGCCAGGAGCCCTAACATTTGCTCGGTTTAGTGTTAACTGGGTCTGACCAGGCTTAGCTTGTGTAGATGAGAGAAAGACCTTCCTTCCCTTCCTTCCTTCCTTCCTTCCTTCCTTCCTTCCTTCCTTCCTTCCTTCCTTCCTTCCTTCCTTCCTTCCTTCCCCTTCCTTCCTTCTTTCTTTCCTTCCTTCCTTCCTTCCTTCCTTCCTTCCTTCCTTCCTTCCTTCCTTCCTTCCTTCCTTCCTCCCTCCCTTTCTTCCTTCCTTCCTGCAGTTCTTAAGTGAGCCTTGCTTAGCAACGTAAACCTTTGGGCTCAATTTCATGTTGTAAGTCAAGGACTCACTGTAAGCTCTTCTCAAGCCCATGGAAGTTGGGAAATTGAGAATTTTTTCCACCAATCCAGTGCTGGAATTCAACCACATTCTCTCTCTACATTTTCCAAAGAGACTCCTCTCCCTCCACCTCCGATAATTTCAAATAAAGCATCTTACGGGGCCATCCTGATGCAGCAGTATATCTCACTGTGGGAATTGTTGTCGGGGATGGAGGTGAGTCATCCTCCAGGGAAGCCTGTGCTCAGCTTGGCTAGATGATGGGACTGGGGACAACAAACCACAAATCACGGCTGGGGTCCTTATTAAAGAACTCGGAATAAATCTCAGCGTTTGGATATCACTGGGCTTTGAAACTGCTGGTGTGAGATGGGTTGATCAAGAGGCACACTTAAAATGGAGTTGCTGTATTTATATGCAGATTTAACGAGGGGCCTGTGGAAGTTAAGTTGCTTGAAAAATCATTTGCAGGGTTAAATATGCATGTTGGAACGAGTCCTCAATCCTGTCCTTCAGGTCTGTTATTTAATGCCTTTTTACAACAAGCAGGACAATTCTACATCCCCGTTAGACGATTTTGTGTGGCGTTTTGGGGGGAAAAAAACCCTTAGCCTAGTTGTCTAAATTTTGCAACATTCAACGTGCCACAAACCCTTTGCTTCTCAGCTGAAGGTTTCGGAAGAAAAAAAAAAATACCGTTTCTTGATTTAGTTCCTGCAAACAAGCACGTGATGCTTTGCTTGGTGCCTTGCAATGTTTGCGTATCTGAGTCGATCGCAGATCTCCAAGTGACGAGGGATTTAAGTCATGTTCTGTGTGTGAGCGGGAAGCCAGACATTAGCCAGGCCTGTGTTAGGATTGGATCTTTGTTGCTTTGAATGAAGTGATCCACGTAGGATCCATGAATGGTTCCACCGGAAGAAGAGGTGTTATGAACACATTCACATGAAACCAAACTCTAAAGGAGAATATTTGTGCCTCAGGGTTGAAATGAGAGGTCTTTGGTGTTCTCTGAGTTTGGTTGTTTTCTTGCAGATGTTTCGTTATGTCATCAGTGCTAGAAGGGAGTGGGGTTTGCAGGGGGAGGAGGAGGAGAGGAGGAGGAGGAGGACGACGACGGTGATGACTGTGGGTTCCTTGGTGTTCTCTGACCTTGGTTACTTTCTCGCAGATGTTCCATTACCCAGTCTAGGTAACCTCATCAGTGCTAGAAAGGACTTGTACGTAAACAGATAGTAAATCCCACTCCCTTCTAGCACTGATGACGTTACCTAGTTGGGGTACTGAAATGTCTACCAGAAAACAGCCAAGCTCAAAAAGCACCAAGGACCCTCCAAGCAAACTCTACCCCTATTTATATTTTTATTCTTTTCTCTCCTTATCGTCACCGTCGTATTAGGTTATTATGGAGCTGTGTCTGTTTCATGAACCCATGAAGGAAAAAAAAACAAAACAACCCACCTTATTTCTTAGCAGTTGCTGTTAGGATCCTGTTCTGGTTTTTCTTCTGCAGATTGTGAAGTCAGAATACCCCATCAACATGGAGAACCTACCAGTCAATAATGGCAATGGACAGGCCTTTGGCTACACCCTTTATGAGACGGTCATCCTTGGCGGAGGAACGCTGTATTCGCGTGACTACATCCGAGACCGAGCAGAGGTGAGGATGGATGTGCGAGATTTATTGCCTTCTTCTGGGAGGGAAAAGCTGGCTAGATCTTAGTTAACTCATAATTTACTCTTGGATCAAGGTGACTTTCGTGGAGTGAACATATTGAAACTCTGGTGACTTTATAATTACCCGTTGCTCTTGTCATTTGGCCCTAATTGCACACACAATTTTCAGTTGAGTTCAGAAGCTTGGTTTTTAGTATGGACTGCCCTGTCTAGACTATGTTCTAAAAGGCTTCCCTTTAACTTGGAGGTCTTCAAACTTGGCCCTTTTATGACTTGTGGACTTCAGCTCCCAGAATTCCTCAGTCAGCCTGGTTGGCTGGCTGAGGAATTCTGTGAGTTGAAATCCACAAGTCATAAAAGGGCCAAGTTTGAAGACCCCTGCTTTAACTATTGATCCACTGAGCTAGGTTTGAATGCCAATTACCTACTGAAGCTTTAAAAATACAGAGAAAGGTTTGCTATTACAATTTACAGAATACCTTTAAAAGTAGAAAATATTTTTTATTTTTGTGGAGCAACTGGGTGGCCATAACCTGCTAATTGTAACTACTGCGGCTGAATAATCCAGGCTTTTTAATTAATTTTCCCTCATTCTATTTGCATCTATAATTTGTTTAAATGATGATAGTAACACGGCTACATCTAGTGCTTGGATCCACAGCTGGAATTCTCCCCAGGTACTTCTGCTCTCTTCATGTTACAATCTCTAAATACTCCTCTAGTTTCCTGATTTTTGTGAAAGTTAAAAGAATCTATTTTTTTGTCTGCTTTTTTTTCTCCTGCAGGTGTTTATTAATACCCGATATATTGGTCACCTTGATTACAACGTACAGGAGCTGTCCATTCCTAACAGGCAGGTGAGCAGTTAGAAAAAGCAGTTGGATTGGCAGGCAAGATTTGTATTTGTTTTAACCTTATTTTACCTTTTTAAGACAAGTTTATCAGAGCCAGTGACCAGCTTTGCTGCCAAGCTTGTTCAGATTAGTAAGCAATCACCTGTGCTAGAATAAAATGTCTGTAGGATCAGTTCTTGAAGGATGCAGGTATAACCTACAATTCACTAGCTCAGATGTCCCTGTCCCAGTTGTAGTCCTCAGCTTACAGCAATTTGTTTAGTGACGGTTCAAAGCTACAGCGGCACTGGAAAATGTAACTTGTGACCGTTTTTCACTATTGCGACCTCTGCAGCATCCCCATGATTGTGTGATTTTTCCCAACATTAAGAAAACCAAAATCATGGCATCCGGCCCTCTTAATTCCTGGCAAATAGATGGGGAAGAAATGGAGGTAGTGACAGATTTTATTTTTCTGGGCTCCACCTCAGATGGGGACTGCAGCCAAGAAATTAAAAGACGCTTGCTCCTGGGGAGGAAAGCTATGGCAAATCTAGACAGCATACTAAAAAGCAGAGACATCACCCTGCAAACAAAAGTGCGTATAGTCCAGGCCATGGTTTTCCCAGTTGCAATGTATGGCTGTGAAAGTTGGACCATAAGAAAGGCTGAGCGCCAAAGAATTGAGGCCTTTGAACTATGGTGCTGGAGAAGACTCCTGCGAGTCCCTTGGACTGCAAGGCGTTCAAACCGGTCAGTCCTAGAAGAGATCCACCCCGACTGCTCTTTAGAAGGCCAGATCCTGAAGTTGAAACTCAAATACTTTGGCCACCTAATGAGAAGGAAGGACTCCCTGGAGAAGGGCCTAATGCTGGGAAAGATGGAGGGCAAGAGAAGAAGGGGATGACAGAGAACGAGGTGGTTGGATGGAGTCACTGAAGCAGTAGGCGTGAGCTTAAATGGACTCCAGAAAATGGTAGAGGACAGGAAGATCTGGAGGAACATTGTCCATGGGGTCGCGATGGGTCGGACGCGACTTCGCAATTAACAACAACAACAAAAAAGATTCGGGTATTTTTTTTTTTCTTATGCCCTGCAGGGATATAGACAGCTGCAAATCTTAGTAGAGAACTGTGGCCGAGTCAACTACGGGCTTAATCTGAACAACCAGCGGAAAGGTAGGCCAGTAATACCGGTTTTCTGTTCTCATGACTTTAAATCCTCAGCGCCATGTTTCAGAAAAATGGAATTTGGCCTGGGGCGTACGCTCCACGCTTTAAAACAAGGGCTTTGAAGTTCTCTGTACCCAGGAAGTTGCACGAATCCTTTCCAGGAGACCTCAGAAAAAAGGTTTTAATAAGTGGGGGGGAAAAAAACCAACCAAACAGGTTACAGAAGAATGGATTTTAAATTCCAGGAAGACATATTCTAGCTGAAGGTGATGAAGAAAAAAAAATATCTGATAATAAGAGCCACCTGGCAGCCGAATCATTGTTGCAGGGACTCTTCCCCCTTCTTGAATTGTTGAAGCAGATGCTAGGAATCTTAAAAATTTGGATTCCTGCAACTTAGCAGGAGAAATTGAACACAGTGGCCCATTCCATCCGTTTCAAGACCAACCACATTAGACTCAACAGCCACGTTGGTCATGGCTGGCTGAAAGAACCAGGACTTTGTTTTGTCCTTTGAAGGTTCATAAAGAACAGAATGAAAGAGTCTGCCAGGATTCCTTCACAGAAAATCCTCTAAGGAAATAATGCCTTAATTAAGCCCCTATTCTGTGTTGTAGAGCGTTGGCAGTTGCTCGTTTCCAAACCCCGTAAAGTGCTTCTCTTTGATTTAGCTGTCATTTTATTTGTCTTCCTTTATTTGTTGATTGGATTGATTTAGAACCTCCCCAACTCCAACTGACTCTGGGCTGATATAAAAATAATGACATAAAAAAACCAATATAAAACCCAAACCAGGATGAGGTCCCGGCACAGCGCACAGACAAAAACAAATCTAGCAAAGCCAAGGAGAAGAAGCACATCTTCTGGACTTTACCGGATGCTTAATTGGGGGGGGAGCCACACAGATTTCTGGGGGGACGAGAGCTCTCCTTCCAGAAAGCAGGTGCCGCGACTTAACGTGTTCATCTGATGCTTCTAAAACGATGCAAAGTAGTCCTTGAGCCCAAAATTGCTGCTGCTAAGTGAGACATTTGTTCAGTGAGTTTTGCCCCATTTTACGCCTGTTTCTCAGCCTTTCTGAACCGGGATTGGGTGGACCCCGATGTCCGTTCGGGGAGGGTGGCGGCCGGCTGTTGGTCTTGGAAGCCGGTCCTGCCTCTCCTTTGAAAGGCGATTCATCAGCTTTGGCGTTCACCCTTGTTTCTCTTGCAGGCTTAATTGGCGACATCGTTTTCAACAAAACCTCCTTGAGGAACTTCAAGATTTACAGCCTTGAAATGAAACCCAGCTTCATGGAAAGGTTCGCTCAGCGAATCTCGCCAACAACAACACACACTCTTCCCACTCCCGCCTCCCACCCACCCACCCCCACTTTTTTGTTATTTGTTTTCCTCTTTCCTTTGTTTATTGGAATTGCACTTGGCTGAGGTCCAAATCCTAGCTAGCAGCTCCACCTGCCAGCAATCTAGCACCTGGCAAAGAATTGGGGTGGTAGCTCCCAAATGTGGAGAGCCGCGCAGTGGCCCTTCTTAGCAGTGGACCTTTTTCAATATAATTTCCCCCTTTCACTCCAACTGGCACCGCCAGTGCTGATAATGGTTTGATAGATAAAACTAGAATAGTCAGGCTAGAAAACAGAAGACTCGTGAGTTCTAGTTCCCACCCCCTCTTCCCCAGACATGAAACGGGTGACTTTGGGCCAGTCACCAGGAGACAGTGAGTTCTAGTTCCTCCTTAACCATGAAAACCAGCTTTGCGACTTTGACTTTGGCCCAATCTCTCACAACAAGGTGGTTGTCGTTGTGGGGGAGATAGGAGGAGGAAGGCACATTAAATATGTTTCCCACTTTGAGTTATTTATTTAAAAAAAACAGTAAAGGCAGGATATAGATAAATAAAAGTTCCCAAATTACTCGAGCTTCGGGATAAACATCAGCACTCCTCTGAAGTAGTCCTCTTGTAGCTGACCATGAACAAGCCAAGTGGGCTTGGGCTGTGTCGTGTTTTGAAACTGTTAGCTGGAGAACCAAATAAGCAGTCTTGTCTTAGTATTGGTGCTCTCTGAGCTTGGTTGTTTTCTTGCACCCGTTTCATTACGCAAACTAGGTAAGATCATCAGTGCTAAAAGGGAGTTGAGTTTGCGAAGCCAGGGAGAAGGAGAAGGAGAGGAGGAGAAGGAGATGGAGGAGTGCTAGTCAAACTAGGTAACATCATCAGTTTAGCACTGATGATGTTACCTAGTTGGGTAATGAAGCGTCTCAAGAAAACCCACCAAGCCCAGAGAGCACCAAGGACCCCTCATATCAACCCTGAGCTACAAATATTCTCCTTCATAGGTCGTTACTGTTTCCTGGTTACAGTACAGGGCTGGCGTAATTTTGGTCTTCCTGTTCTGGGTTCTGGCCCTCCTAAAAGTGGGCAGGGGGGCACTTCAAGGGAGGGAGGCTGGTGGAGGAAGGAAAGGAAGAAAGCACTAGGACTAGAGTACTAGTCGTCTAGAGGCCTCTGGCTTGATAATAGCAATCACAGGGGTAGGCACTTCAAAGCTGTAATAGCTGGGAGGCACCCTTGAGGCCATCAGTTCCAACTCCTGCCGCCTGCAGAAATCCGTATAAATGCTAGCTTGACAAATGGCTCTCCTGTTCTTTCCTTCCTCTCAAAATATCCTTGTACAGTTCAGAGGGGGACTATTTTGATCTAGTTAACAATCCTCAGAAAGGTACAGACCAATTTGGCATTCCCCCCCCCGCCCCCCTGATCCAAACAGTTGAAATTTGTTGCCAGCAGGGATGATGGTTTGAACACCAATTCACAGAACACAACAGATGCAGACGAAGTTCCCAGAATTGTAAAATACCACAATGGCAAAAGTTAGAAGGAGCCACGCGGCAATTAAACACAGCCTCCTGCTTAGTGCAGGGATCTAAAACACACCTGCCAGATGGCTGTCTGAGCTCACCTTGAAGGTGTTCATCAAGAGGAGCCCTTCACCTCTATACGTCACTGGTTACCTTGGTGAATGTTTCTTTAGTAGTTCTGTGGGGTCTTTGGTGCCCTCTGAGCTTGGTTTTCTTACAGATGTTTCATGACCCAACTAGGTAATGTTATCAGCACTAACGATGATACCTAGTTTGGGTAAGGAAACGTCTGCAAGTAAACCACCAAGCTCAGAGAGCCCCATGGTCCCCTCAAGCAAGACTTAGCTACGTCGGGACTGATAGGGGTTGCTGATGGATTTTTCTCCTGGAGATCCCTTTGAGGAATCTTTCCTTTCTCCCCCAGTCTGCGTGGAGCATCTCCTTGGAGTGCCATCCCCGACAGCGCAGTGGGCCCTGCGTTCTTCCGAGGAACACTCCAAATACAGTACATGCCCCAAGATACTTTCCTGAAGCTTGAGGTAAGTACTTTATTACCAGAGCTGTAAAAAGAGATGTACAGATGTAGGATAAACCTCACTCTCAACATTTCTCCCGGAGGTCCTTTAGGATAGAGGCCTACCACCGTTCTGTTGAGCCGCGGACTGTGTCTGATGGTACTGGAGGCCCACAGAGGTTAACTTGCAAGCCTGCTTTATAGAGTTACGCAAATTAGAATATGCGTATGATTGGATAGGTCTGGTAGCCCTTCACGTGTTTGGTGAGGTCAGTGAGAGAATTAGGGCAGAACTATGTGGAGGCGGGGGGACAAGGTATTTCGTGAACCCGGTTTGCTTCTAGAGCAGCATTTCCCCACCTTGGCAAGTTTAAGATGTGTGGACTTCAACTCCCAGAATACCTCAACGGGCTATGCAGCGGAGGTCCACACATCTTAAAAGTTGCCAAGGTTGAGAAAACAGTGTTCTAGGGCAGGGGTCCCCAATCCCCGGTCCGTGGACCGGTACCGGGCTGCGACACGCCATCAACCAGTCCACACAAACAAGCAAAGCCCCATCCGCGGGATGCAGGCAGCACACAAAACCACACACCCTCCGGTCTGCAGAAAAACCTCTCTCCACGGAACCGGTGGAACCAGGCCAGAGATGAGTATAACAGGAACTCATAAAAGTAACTCCCTAGAACAGAGGTCCTCAACCTTTTGGGCACCACGGAACCGGTCCCTGGTGCCCAAAAGGTTGAGGACCTCTGTTCTAGGGAGTTACTTTTATGAGTTCCTGTTATACTCGTCTCTGGCCTGGTTCTCCCAGATTGATCAACTGTCTTAGCCTTCTAACGTTTTGTGGATTGTTTCTCAGTCACTGTGAAGGTCATTAGGGTGGAGACGTCTTTGTGGTGTTTTACTTGCCCAAATCGGCAACTTCTTTTCTCCTGCATGGAGGCAAGAAACAGAAAAACCCTCTGTTTGTAAGGATCCTGGGATTCTTTCAGGTTAGCAGGAACGTTCGTTCATCCTCATCCAACTTCACAAGTTGCAGAATTGACAGGAATATCCGTAGTCGGCTTGCACAAGGACAGTCAGCCCTCTGTGGTCTGGATTTATTTTAGCCTGCTTCTTCTAGGTGAAATTTCCTTAATTGCGCCTCAGTTTGTGTGCCCTATCAGCATTTTGTGGTGGTAAGGCACCGGAAGAGAAAGAAAACAACTGGACGACCAGTTGTATGTTTCCAGTTAGTATTCTTTTCATGCAGCTGAGATTGACCTGCTGTTCTGTTAGATAAAATGCGCTGACAACAGTCTAAAAGGCGAGCTTTGCTCAGAATACTTAATTGTAATGAATATGCATTTGTCTTCTTTTTTTCTTAGTTTTTGCAGCAGGAACTAGAAAAAATATGTTGGCGCTTCTAGCACCGCTGCAGTAGTTTCATGTTTCATCATTGGTTACCTGTAAGGGCACTAGATCCATTGCACAATGTCGACATCTTGATCCACCGTAGTAAGATCCCCTTGTGTGTTTCCAGGGCTGGGAAAAGGGAGTTGTCTTTGTCAATGGCCAGAACCTGGGTCGCTACTGGAAAATTGGTCCTCAGGAAACCCTCTACCTCCCGGGAACCTGGCTCCAACAAGGGTACAACGAAGTGAGTCGCTTGATTTGAACCCTGTTCTCTTTCTTTTCACGTCTCTCAATATACTCAACCAGTTTGGTCTAATGGTGAAGATACCAAGTTTAAAACCAGGAGATTTGGAATTCTAGTCCCACTAGGCGTGAAAGCTGGTTGGATGATTTTGAGCCAATCACCAGGAGATTGGGAGATTTAGTCCCGCTTTAGGCATGAAAACTGGCTGGGTGACCTTGAGCCAATCATTAGGAGGCTGAGTTCTAGTCCTACCTTCGGCATGCAAAGTGGCTGGGTGACTTTGGGCCAATCACCAGGAGACTGGGAGTTCTAGTCCTGCCTTAGGCATGAAAACTGGCTGGGCGACTTTGAGCCCATCACTAGGAGACTGTGAATTTTAGTTCTACTTCAGGTATGAAAGCCAATTGGGTGATTTTGAGCCAGTCACTAGGAGACTGTGACTTCTAGTTTTGCCTTAGGCATGAAAGCCAGTTGGGTGATTTTGGGCCAGTCCCTCTCTCTCTCTCTCTCTCTCTCAGCCCAACCCACCTCACAGGGTTGATGTCACAGGGAAAATGGGAAGAAGGAGTATGTGCAGAATTGCCCCAAAGGAGCTCATTCTTTCATCTGAGCAAGGTTGTTCCTTCTCTTCTCTTTCTCCAGATCATTATATTTGAGGAGCGTCTTGGAGGCCGTATCATCCATTCCACAGATCTGGCCTTCTTGGGAAGGGTTCAGTATGTGACCTGAGCTGTTCCTGATTGTGCCACCCTCTACTGATAGTAATGGTTAAGGTTATGCTTCTTAACTGATTGTGGGAGGTCAAAGAGTCTCAAGGCAGACCTTTCTCCCTCCCATTGTGAAAACTGTGCCCCGTATCCTTATATTTTCTAGTTAAGGGTGGAGTTTGGCCAAAGAAGGCCCACCTGGTGAGTTAATTTAGGAGGTTGACTAAGAGTACTTGAAGACAGATGCCCAGGTAGCTAGGAAGGTCCTCCTAAAGAACTCAACTTCACTACAAGTTCTTGTGTCCTGTAACACTAGATGCTAAGGACCTGACAAAGGAACGAATGTCCGCAAGTCATGGGAGATCTGATGGACTGAAACCGCCAATCTGCAATGGTTTGATCGGGATCCTCCTTTAGGTTGTGGCTGGAAAAGGAATGTCTTTGCATCTCTAGTAGTCCACGTTGGGTTTTTTCTGACAATTGAAGCTGCCAGTCTTAGCTCCCTGATCTGGTTGTTGGGCAGACTGTGGAGGAATGTCATTTTTACCGCTTTGCATTCCTTGGGTCGTTTCAACCCAGATCTTAAAAGGAAGGAACGCCACATTTGGGCATATAAAATGCCAACCACCAATGGGGACATCATGCAGAGACAGTGGAAACTACATTTCAGTGACATGCCATGGATTTTGGGGGGAGGGGCTGGAATTGGGCTTCTTCCAAGCTACATAGAACGCCTGTAACATCTGAAGCCCCTTGCCCCACGCCCCTTGCAATTTTCCCCAGCTGAATCACAGGTTCTTGAGGTCACCAATCGCAAAGGGTGAGTGCTGGGCCAGGGGTGGGTGGGATTGGGATGTATCTTTGCACCAAGACATAGCATGAACTAATCTACTGCTGAATTTTAGGAGCACCCCCTGGAGCCAGGAAGGAGCTCCAACAGAAGCCCCCATGGGTAGAACCCCACCCCCTTCCCAAGACCAGCCCAAAAGAGTGCTGTTTCAGAAAATAAACACGTCCCAGTGAAACCAAAAACCTCTACACAATGCTCCCCAACTAGGTTGAGATTCTGCGCAGTGTGCTTCGGTCCTTCGCAAAAGGTGCCCCACCCTCAGCAAATTGGGACTGCAACTCTTGATATCCCCAGCCACTTTATCTTTCTGGACTGGGTCTCGTAAGGGGCATCGATCCCAGTCTGAACAGAGGCCTCTGCTTCGAAGATAATCCTCAAATTATGACCGCTTGCATTGAGACTCAACTTGGTCACCTCTCTTGCTTCTGAGGGAGGGTCTGGGGGACTGGGGATTCAGCCTGAAGGCGTACTTGAGTGCATTGCTGAATAATTAGTCAATTGGATCTGTTTTAAAAATAACCTTTTTCATGTACTTTTTTTTAAAAAAAGAGAAAAGGCAAATGGATGCATTCCTCAGTAGGATGCCCTCCAGGGCTTTGAGGCACAACCTATCACCCCAGAAGGCCAGTGGATGATGGATCTTATATCCCTATCCTTGTGGGAAGAACCGGTTGGAAGAAGCCACTGTAAGCCATAAACACCCAGTCTCTGTGCACCTTGCTGTCTCTTCCTCCTTCCATCAATCAAAACCTCAGTTTCCCTGATGGAGCTAAGCGTTGTGTAGCCGTGGGCACAATTGGTGTCAGTGTCCTCCTCTAGCCAGCCTGCCATTGGTTGTGTCTTGCAGGCCCAGACCCACACCCAAAATAAGTTTGGCACTTACTTTTCCAGCGATCGTTCAGGCTTATCGTCAGGATGCAGTTGAATTGTGATCCTGGCCCTCTCCTTTACAGGTTAACCCTCCAGCACAGGTATGTCCAACCTTGGCCACATTAAGTGGCTGGTTGGCTGGGGAATTCTGGGAGTTGAAGTCCACAGGTCTTAATGTGGCCAAGGTTGGAGACTCCTGTTCTGGAAGGTTAACCTGTAAAGGGGAGGGCCAGGATCACAATTCAACTGCATCCTGACAATCAGCCTGAACAATTGCTGGAAAAGCAAGCACCAAGTGATGCTGAGGTCTTTCTGGCTGTTCAAAACCATTTTTCATTCTATTTATGAAATTAACTGCATGAAATTGAAAATATAAGAAGGTGCAGCTGTAAAAACAGAAGCCAAAGGGGGGGGAGTTCACCCTTTCTACCTGTTCTGTGCTCTGCAACTCACCAGGCATCCTGATAGCCAAAGGGGGGGGGGAGTTCACCCTTTCTACCTGTTCTGTGCTCTGCAACTCACCAGGCATCCTGATTGAACCTTTGACACATCCTGAGCATATCACTGCCTGCCTTCCACCACATGCTCTGGGAGGAAATTGGGATAAATCATTGCAATTTTCTTTTTGGTCTATGATTTACTGCAGTCTGGCAGAGTTGTAGTCATAAAATGGAGAGAGAGGAAGGGTGAAAGAAAACACACACACACACCATCAGGAAGAATGGCGATTGAAAAAACCATGCTGTGCTGAGAAAACCGAATTTTCTTTTTTTAAAAAATAATAATAATAATGCTTCTCGTTTCCCCTTTAATCAAAGGTTTGGGCTGGTGTTTTGTTTTGAAAGGCGGTGACTATAAATTCTGTATCGTTGGATGTGAATTTTACTCAAATGCTGTTTTCTCTTCCCCCACCGACACTGACCCGGGTTTTGAATTTTTTCATAAAGTCGTCTTAAGGCCTAGTTGGTTTGTTGGTTCCGTTTTTTTCCCCGTGTCTGGTTTGCTAGATATTTGTAATAAAGAGGGAAAAAAAGGAAAAAAAGAAAAAGAAAATCTGTCTCTATTATTATTATCTTATTGGTACCGTGTTTGTTTTCCCTATCGCGAGAGGTCTGCTGTTAGTCCCAAGCATGATTTGAGTCCACCCCGGCTTACGCATCTTAGTCACTCAGGTGAAAGGTTAAAAAATAAGCCTATTTTTTTTGCTGTACAATTTTACATTCCTTTCCAATCAGCTTGAAGATATAGTTGTGCTTTGCATTTTTAAATGTGTATAAAAGGCAGAGGCAGGAGGTTATATGAGCTGCCTTTCTGATCTCCTTTTACTCCAACTCTGATGACGTCGGTAGTTTGGCCTGATGAAAGCTTAGTGACTCTTTTTAACCACAGGCTTGTTTATATTAAACAGTCTGGTTTATTATATCCTGGTGTTCGTTTTTCGTAGATTTTCACGGATATAGGTATGCAGGTCTTGGTGTATTCAGGTCTTTTCCCATGTAAGATTGAGAGTATCTTGGCGATGTTTTGACGAGGTCCCACTCGTCATCTTCAGGCTGGGGTCTTCGGCTTCGTGCTTGTGCAAGCAAAGTGTGATCGGAGCTGCCGTCTCTCTATATATATTGGTGGGAGTGTGTGGAGTGCTGGCTTAGTTGCTGTAGGTGGATTGGTTGGCTGTGTTGGAGTTATTGTTTGTGGATTGTTTGGCTGTTTAGTAACATCCTGAGTAGTTGAGGTGCTGGCTGTGTGCCCATTAGTCTTTTGTGTTGTAATGACCTGGGTAATGGGTTGTGTGATGACATCCTGAGATCTAGTGTAGTGATATACTGAGTTCTGTGTTGCACCATCCTGGGTGGTTGGCTGTGTTGTAACATCCTGAGCTTTACAACACAGCCAACCACCCAGGATGGTGCAACACAGAACTCAGGATATCACTACACTAGATACCTACTGCAACTAAGCCAGCACTCCACACACACCCACCAATATATATAGAGAGACAGTAGCTCCGATCACACTTTGCTCGCATAAGCACAAAGCCGAAGACCCCAGCCTGAAGATGACAAGTGGGACCTCATCGAAACGTCGCCAAGATACTCTCAATCTTACACGGGAAAAGACCCGAATACACCAAGACCTGCATATATGTATATATATATATATATATATATATATATATATATATATATATATATATATATATATACACATACATACATATACACACACACACACACACACACACATACATACATACACATTTTTAGATTGCTAACAAAGAATAAAGGGAGAACTGGGATAGCTATTTCGAGTTTCTTAACTCTCTTCAGCAAGACTTACCCTTCTGAGATATATATGTGTGTGTGTCTGTGTGTATATATATTGTTGTTGTTGTTAATTGCGAAGTCGTGTCCGACCCATCGCGACCCCATGGATAACATTCCTCCAGGTCTTCCTGTCCTCTACCATCTTCTGGAGTCCATTGAAGCTCACGCCTACTTGCTTCAGTGACTCCATCCAGCCATCTCATTCTCTGTCGTCCCCTTCTTCTCTTGCCCTCAATCTTTCCCAGCATTAGGCCCTTCTCCAGTGAGTCCTTCCTTCTCATTAGGTGGCCAAAGTATTTGAGTTTCAACTTCAGGATCTGGCCTTCTAAAGAGCAGTCGGGGTTGATCTCTTCTAGGACTGACCGGTTTGAACGCCTTGCAGTCCAAGGGACTCACAGGAGTCTTCTCCAGCACCAGAGTTCATATATATATATATATGTATATATAAAGGAAAGCTAACAAATAGTGTGTCGGTGATTGAGATGGAAACAAAATAATAATAATCAGGATCCAGTATAGGGAGCCCTCGACTTAACAATTAGTCATTTAGTGACCATTCAAAGTTACAATGGCACTGAAAAAAGTGACTTACGATGGTTTTCACACTTACGACCATCGCAGCATCCCCAGGGTCATGTGATCAAAATTCAGACGCTTGGCAACTGACATGTACTTATGACGGTTGCAAGTGTCCCGGGATCACATGATCCCCTTTTGCGACCTTTGGATGAGCAAAATCAATAGGGGGAAAAGTCTGCAAGAGGCAGAGATGCTGATTTTTCTAAAAACCTCTCCCAGCTTCATGCGTGGCTTTTTTTAAAAATCACACCGAAGGGCGTAATTTGATTTAATTCATTTTTGCGCCGCTGAAGGTTTGACCGTCGTTCCAGAGCAAGACAAAATGCAAAGATGGTTACCATCTTACCAGCAAGCTCATGTATATCCCTCATTATGCAACCCCCAGATCTTTATATCCACATAATTTCAGCGTGTGCCAGGAAGAATAAGTCTTTTTAATTGCCAGGGTGTGTAGCAAGGCACCACGTTCTGTTATTTCCCCCTTTTCTATGCCATCTTTTCTATACATTGCTTTTTGCTCAGGATAAGCTGGGGGGGAAAAAAAACCCTCTTAAATTGTGCCATTAATTTCAAGCCCGCTTTACAATATAAGCAGATAAAGTTTTAAACACACCTTTCTGGATGCAGGATCTTAAGCACAGACAGAGACGCTGTGTGAGCTATTGTACTACCTGCGGGAGTTGTATCTGTGTGTATGTGTTTGTTTGTGTACGCGTGTGCACGCCTCTCTATGAAGGAACAATAAAAACAATAACATCCATTAATACGAAATAATGAATTTTGACACTTCGTTCAGTCTAGGGCAGGGCTTTTCAACCTTTTCACCCATTGTACCACTTTTAGGATATGGCAATATCCGAGTACCACCAGTCGCCTAGCAAAGTGTCAAAAACTTGATGACCCAAAAAAAGAGGAAAAAAGTGACGAAGTACAGGTAGTCCTCGACTTACAACAGTTCGCTTAGTGACTGTTCAAAGTTACAATGGCACTGAAAAAAGTGCCCCCCATGCCACAGCCGAGCAAGACAGCTACCTGCCCACCCGGAGGTGCTCTTCCTCCTGTCCGAGGTTTTCATTGTTGTGAGCATTTCTGTTGAGGATTGGCAGCGGAGGTGTGTTGAGGATGTGTTTGGTTTTTATTATCCCCCCCCCCATCTGCTGGGTGGTTGCAGCAGGTTTTGGTCACTTCACATGACCCTGGGACGCTATGACCGTCATAAATATGAATCAATTGCCAAGCATCTGAATGTAAATCACAAGACCCTGGAGAGGCTGCAACATTCCAGCTGATCGGCGCTTCTTCTGGGCTCAGCAGAAACATCAGGATCAGCACTGAGCTCCAGCTGGAGCCTGGCGCTGATCCTGACACTTCCGCTGAACCCTGACAGCCCTGCAGCTCCAGCCGTCTCTCGCTCAGGCTTGTGCGGTGCTGCCACCGGTTCAGCTCATTCCCCTCCCCGCTACCACTTTTCTAGGATGGTCGCGTACCACCTGCCAGGTGCCAATGTACCACAAGTGGTACCCGTACCACTGGTTGAAAAGCCCTGGTCTAAGGCACTATTTCTCAACCTTGGCAACTTTGAGCTGTGAGAACTTCAACTCCCAGAATTCTGGGAGTTGAAGTCCTCACAGCTCAAAGTTGCCAAGGTTGATAAATAATATGCAAGATAGGTTTTCTTTTTTTAAAGAAAAGTGGACTTCATCTCCCAGAACTCCCCAGCCAGCATGTTTCAGACAGACTGCCCGAGGATGTTTATAGCATGTATCAATTCCCCTTCTAATTCTCCTGTTCTAATATCTAGGGCAGATGATGGAGGAAGCTGACCAATCCATAACCTGGCTTTTGCCCTCTTGCTGATTTTGCATTGCTCTTGTTTCACCAATGGCCTTTGGGGAGTCCCACATTTCTATCGCTCTGCTTTTTATCTGTTGTTGTTTCATTTCATTTTATTGGATCGTTTTCCAGAAGATCAGGCATAAGTGAGCTGTTGTTGTTTTTTAAATACTGATTTATTAATTTATTGATCTCCTTTCCTCCCCCCCCCTCTGCACAAAAACCCAAGCTGTTCTCTGGTATATGGAGCAATTCGGCTGGGTGTTTTCCTCTGGTTGATCAAGGGCCCAGTTTGAGTCTGGAATCGGGGTGGGAACAGACTGCAAATAGAAAAAAAAATGGGCTTCAGTGTCCCACTTGAGCTGCAGTTCGGGAGCAGTAAGTTTACTTTTTTTCCAAAGCAAACCCTCATTTATATCTTAGTTGATGGCCTGCCACAAAGAAGAGGAGGGGGTCAACCTATTCTCCAAAGCACCTGAAGGCAGGACAAGAAGCAACGGATGGAAACTAACCAAAGAGAGAAGCAACCTAGAACTAAGGAGAAATTTCCTGACAGTGAGAACAATTAATTTAATGGAACTACCTGCCTCCAGAAGCGGTGAATGCTCCAACACTGGAAGTTTTTAAGAAGAGACTGGACAGCCATTAGTCTGAAATGGTGTAACATTTCCTGCCTGAGCAGGGGGTTGGATTAGAAGACCTCCAAAGTCCCTTCCAATCATATTCTGTTATCTTATAATGTCTCCAGCCAATGCTACTTGTTAAACGAAGCACATGGCAGCCCCTGGAAGTGGTTCCCCCCTGTCCTGCTGCTGTGTTTAGTACAATGTAGCTTAACGCGACACTGCTAAGTCTGGCGTTCTCCCTCCTCCAGTTGGGATCTTTCTCATTTTAGCATCAGGCTCAACATGAGCTATGCTCAAACCTTCAGAAGAAAGAGGGATGGGTGTTTACTATTTTGAGCAGCTGCCACGAAAGGTGGCTCTGATTCAAATTCTTCCTCTTCAGTCCCACTTGAAGAGGGACCCCCCTGGTAGCAAATGCCAACCTGCCAAGTGTTGTGATTGACTAATGCACCAGAGCTGTACCTGCTCGCATCGCTCCTGGCTTTGCAGCGTGATGTCAGATTTCCACGTTGGGATCTGTGAAGCCTTTCTTTCCCTCGTTCACCAGCACGGGTTTCTCGGTCCTTGTGTGCCAGACGAGAATCTGGATCAAAGAAGAAGCATAGGAGGTCAGTTCCTCAGTCTTCTTACATTCAACTTATGTTACATTATTAAACTAAGGGCGTAGCTAGCTACATTCTCCAAAGACAGATGGGGGATTTCCAGTAGTTAAGACAGATTTGAGAAGAATAAGATGGGGTTGCAGAGACAAAACTAGTGATGGATCTCAAGATGTTCCTCAAGCATGCTTTTTGATCTAACTTCTGCTAACTCCCATCATTTCAAGAGGTGGCCGTGCTGCTGAAGAGTTAGAAAAGTGATCAGGATAGATACGTATGGGTGGATTAATGCATTTCCCTTGAAAAGTACTTAGATATCCTTAGTTTCTTTTCAACATATTACCTGGGTTCATGTTTATTGTGACTATGCATTTCTGCAAACATAGCAATGTAGGCACTTCCTTACTCATTCCTGGTTTGCTTTCATCCTGATAGAAGAGAATATTTGTAGCTCAGAGTTGAATATAAAATGAGACCAAAGCTCTTTCCCCTTCTAGCATTGATGATGATACCTAGTTTGGTAATGAAATGTCTGCAAGAAAACAACCAAGCTCAGAGAGTACCCAGGACTCCACAGTTGCTTTTCATCCAGCCCAGCCTTTTTACTCTTCTCTAGCAGTATTATAAAACAAGTAATTTATTTTTTATTTTTAAAGGAGGGACTCTAAATCAAGCCAAGCAATCCATGATTACTTCCCTTATCTGGAGGGTTCATTGTTGCACTCATCATACTAAGCCATCAGTATGGTGGTAATTTGGAGCAGGATGTGGTGGAAATCCAGAGTATGGCTGTTTGCAAGCCACGGCTTAACAACAATCTTGCTAAAAAGGACAATTAAATGATGCATTGCCTAAAGTAAGATACGAGTCTCAATATGTTTTATTCTTCAGGAGAAATTAAATCAAAGCTCTCTTCATCTCCACTACAGTCATCCGGTCACGAGAAACAAGATCGCCAGGGTAAGAAAAAAAAAAATACAAATAACTACTCTTGTCATCAAGAGACTAGCCAATCTTTCCGGTGGATTCATCAGCCCGACTCAGCCATGCTTCAAACATGGTTTCCAAACGGTGTGATTTGTAACTTGTGAACCCACACAGCAGATGCCTCTCCTAAGCATACTTCTCTCAGCTTCCTGGCTGCTTACAGTGGGGATGTCCAAACTTGGCCACTTTTAAGACTTTGTGGACTTCAACTCCCAGAATCTCCCAGCCAGTCTTGCAGCCCCAGCTGTGAAAAGGCTGAAAAAAAGGACCACACGGAGCAGTGCCCATATCTCTTACACAACCGAAGTACTGGTGGTTTGGCAGATTACACACCAATCTGATTAATCCCTACTGCTATTTTAATTACACTCACACCTACTGATCTCTGGCATCGCACGCTGCCTCTCCAATTATGGGAACCGTCAGAACCATTATCTTAGTTATTAAAACAGAAGGAAGGTAATTGTCAGCTCTCCAACGGACTGTCACGTCTAAATCTGTTTCGGGCTGCCAAAATCAGACACCCTGGCAACCAAGACGATCTCGATTTAAAAAAGAAAAAAGGAAGGGCTGAATCAAAATCATTTAAGGTGGCTGCTCATATCTGTCTCCTTCCTCCCCTCCTGCTCCGCCTCTGTGGGGTTTGATAAATGACTTTGGTGGACATTGACGGATGCACCTGTGAGTAGGGAGGTGGGAGAGACACAAAAGCCATATAGGTCGATTGTATAGGTCAAAAATCAATACAGGAGTGGACGTGCAACAACAGCAGCTGCCAACTAGCAAATTAGTTTAGCAGCTGGAAAAACCTTTTCCAACCCTTTGAAAAACCCAGAACTTCACCACATGTAGTCCTGGCCTTACAACCCCAGTTGTGCCCGACATTCCCGCAGCTAAGCAAGGCCGCGGTTAAATGCGCATCGTGCCCCTTTTGGCCAGCTGTTTATGCCCCCCTTGTTAAGTGCAGAATCGCTGCAGTTGATAAGCGAATCGTGAGGGCATTAAGCCAATCAGGCTTTCCCCCCCCCCCCGTTGACTTTGCTTGTCGGAAGGCGGCTGCGTAGGTTGTAAATGGTCATTCCCATGACCTGGGACTTTGCAACCGTCCTAAATACATGCCGGTTGCCAAGTGGCTGAATTTTGATCACGTGGCCACGGGGACGCTGCAAAGTATGTCGTAAGTATGACAACTGGCCATAAGGTGGGTTTTTTTTTTTCAGTTCTGCCGTAACTTTGGTCCCTCAACGAAACGTCGTAAGTCGAGGACTGCCTGTGCTCCTAGATTAAAGGGCCTTTCCCCCCCGGGGCTCGTTCTTGGTCGCTGTTGCCGAGCAGGTGGATGGCGGAGTCCCCTCAGCCAAACATCTCCGGCACCTTTTTTTTTTTTTTTTTTTTTTTTTTAGCTCTTCCTTGCCAGCATCCTTACCTTGCCACGGGTCTCGTTGCCATGGCAATGAAACAGCACGCTATCGACCCTGTTTCATGTGTAGAGACACGGGTCGGCTTTTGCCTGGTTTGAAGAATCTGTTCTGCTGCCAAAGCATTAAAAAAAAAAAAAAAAAAGCTGGGCTTCTCATTAGCCTCTCAAACAGAGTCCCACTGTTTCTCAATTTTAGGTATTTGAGCTTTGCTTCCCCCCCCCTCCAGTTCTAAGTGGCAATCCAAGGAGTTAATCTTTAAGAGGATTATATGCGCACACCGCTGTAGAAGGGCAGCTGGGTGTCCCGCTTTATGGAGAAGCAAATACCAGCCAAGGAAAAGCTTTGGAAGTTGCGCTCCCCAGGCGCTGAAGCCTAGAGGATCTTTGGCCCTTGAAAAGAAGAATACAACGGATTGTTGAATATTCCTTAGAGCAGTCTTGCTCCACCTTGGCGGCTTTAAGATGGGTGGAGCTTTGCTGGCTGAGGAATTCTGGAAGTCGAAGTCCACCCATCTTAAAGTCACTAAGGCTGAGAAACACGGCCTTAGAGTCCCAAATGACACGGTAAGGAGGCCTCAAAAGATGGAGCCTGATAGTCAGGACATAAATGCAGATGATCTAGTCAAGAGAACTTTAAAATGTAGCTTCCACCAGCTCTGTTTCCAGGGATATTTAATTTAGTGTTTCATCGTGCGATGCGATAAAATAAACCCTTGCCAATTGCTCTTGAATAGAAAGAGCGTTATTTTAAAATCACAATGACAGACCGACCCAAAATTGGTCCCACGTTGGAAAGGCACTCAGGACATTTGGGCAAAATGGAGATGCTCCACCAATCCCTTTGCTTTGGGTCTTGGAAATGCCACGCTTCACTTGGGTGGTCCAGGAGGCTGTGGACAAGCTGAAGAAGCAACCAAACCAAGGTGGTGGCGGCTACTCAGAATCTACTCAGAGCTACAAAGATTCTCACGAATGAAGGTAAGTAGGTGTGTCCCGGAATAATGTTGCAGGATCCAGTCTGTCACCGGCACCAAGGGTTTATTCTTCTAAACTCTTGGGTTCATGCTGGAGCCCATTGGAGAGAAGTTCCCTGAGAGGGGCTTCAGCCTGAAAGGTTGGAAGAATAAGCCTTTGGTCCCGGTGACGAATCCTGCTACGAAGATTCTCTTCTATGGGGACTCAGAATCTGCTTTGCACAAAAGCCCTTCACGTCAAACTTCTTCAGACTGGGTCTGGAAGTTCATGATTCTCCATGGGTGGTCTCCAGAGAAACCCACATCTGTATAAGCCACCCCTCTGCTTGGAATGTCAAAGGCAACCATACCTTAGTGCAATTGGCAGCTTTGGGTTCAAGGTCATGCAAGGTAACCAGCTCCCGGAGCAGGCTGCTCTCTTGATAGCCCCCCTTGACCCCTCGCAGTTTGAAGTAAGCCTGAGGTCGCTGAAGGATTAGCCTGAGGTTGACAGCAAAGCCTGCCATGTCGATCGCAAACGGCCGGTGGGGGTCAAAGACAGTTTTCCATCCATACACCTTCCCGGCAGCGTTGACTTTGGGGGACTCGTACCGCAAGCCTCCCACGAAGGCCACTGGCCAGACAGATACTCTGCGGGTGGTCCGCATCTGGAAAATAAGAGGAGGAGAAAGAGGAGAACCGTGCAGTGATTGAGCATCCCTTGCTTCCATCAATGGAAGAGAATGCCATTATGAGCATGGCTGGGCAACCAAGGAGCATCTCTTTCACGCTGACCTCTCCGACAGCTGAGCTCTTCTCCAAAGTGGTCTTCTCAAGAGGGTTTTAAGTCCCATTAGCCCTAGTCAGCATAATAGTTGGGCTTGTTGGGCTTGCTGGGCACCAGCTGAAGCCACCTTAGATGTGCACACATGCCTTGGATAAGAAGAACCGTCAATACTCTTGAGTTAACGGTCACAGAGTTGGAAGTGGCTTTAGAGGCATCTTGAATGAAAGGCAGGGTGTCAGCCCAACAAATGCATAAATTCCATAAGTCCTTCTACATTCTGTCAGAAGCACTGCAGGAATGGATTGTGGGATCATTCTAACTCCACCAGTTACAATTCTCACCACCAGTACTCCTTGAGTTAGTCCCCATAGTGAAATCGGGAAAGAAGAAGTACTCAGAATTGACTCCTACAAATCTACAAAGGAAGAAAGGATCCAGGGGTCTATAAGAGGGATAATACCCAGCTACTCTAAACCCCTTCAATAAAATATCTCATTTAGGATCGCTGGAGACAGCTAGCTCTTCAGGAGCTCTCTCTCCACAAATGCTTTGCTAGTACTGCATCTTCACTGCTTATCTTCTTTCTCTTCTGCTCTCTTTCATCCTTATTAATGACTACAAGGCAATCCAAAAGAGCTTGTAGTACTTGCCCTCCTGCATAAATATACGCACTCTTTCTAGTCTTACAGGGGCAGAAGGACAGAGTCACAGTCACACTCTAGTAGGCTGGCTTTCATGCTCAGGGCAGGACTAGAACTCCCAGTCTCCTGGTGATTGGCCCAAAGTCACCCAGCCAACTTTTATATCTAAAGACAGAGTAAAGCTCACTGTCTTTTGCTCATTGGCCCAGTCACCCAGCAGGCTTTCAGGCCTAAGAGAGGACTAGAATTCACAGTCTCCTGGTTTCTGGGCCAGCACCTTTTGATGCAGCCCATCAGTGGAAGGAAGGAGAGATGGAGAGAAGTGTAAATTCCTTCTTTTGTCTCTCTAGCAGGCAAGAACTGAAGCCAAGCCCAAACTTTTAAAGATTCAAAATTATAGCCTGTATCAACAGGCTATAATTTTGTATGTATCAACAACATTCTTGTATCAACAACATTCTTGATATTGGATAATGATCATGCTGATGACCACCAGAGCTCTCTGAGTGTATGGCAAAAAAATTTTTTTTTAAAGTAATACTGCATACCTTTTGATTAACAATCATTTGGAAAACCAAATCCAAACTGTAAGCCCAACTCTTTTGCCCTTCATTAGCAGATATCCAAGTATCCTCTTCCTTGTTGGGAAGTTGATATTTTTGGGGAGTTAGCATGCCTACTTGAGCAAATTTACTTGGAGACAGAAGTGTAGAATTAATTATTATAAATACCCCAGAAGGATAATGGACCCCATAATGGCAAGACTATGAGCAGCTGGAGTGGTCCAGATGGGCAATGTCAAGGACACTAATGCCAGCCCTTTAGGCTGGACAATAACCTTCAAATACAGGATGTCCAGAACCTCAATTATCTGTTCTTTGAACAGAAGACACATCTCTATAAAACTGAGGGTTAAGATAGCGAGAGAGAATCCACACACTATTCTTAAAATGTTCAGCCGATGCTGGTGGTGGGACAGGACATGGCGGCACATGGTGAGTTGAGACTCCACCCTCATCTCTGCCAAGGCCAACTGTTGACCCCATCAACAACTAAAGAAGGCATGCAGGATATTCATCCAGGAGCTTGCTGAAGACCATCAAAAAGTGGAGATGATGTCTACTTGTTCTATTGTTGGACCTGACAACAATGAGCTTCTGATCCCGGTGTTGCCACCTGGATAAACTAGCTGCATGTAGAGTAACTCTGGTATGTACATTGACATCTGCATAGAATTCCTGCTCCATCTATCATTCTTAAATCTGACTTTGGGGAACCAAGTGGTAAGAGTGAACGGCCTCTGCCAATAACATTTAAGCTCTGTCAAAGGCAGTTGATAGTGCTAGTAATAGATCAGCCTTTATAGCAATGTCAACAAACTTGAGATTGCCAAGTCCCCTCTGTCCCTAGTGCTGCCTTAAAGAAGACTGGGCAGCATGTTCCTGCTTGCAAATCTTCAGAAAAGCTTCCAGATCCTTCCAGAAATTCCTCCCAAATTACAATTGTCCGTGCGGCAAAAGGGGAACTATTAAATATATAGATAGTCCTCAAGTTACGACTACAGTCGTGGCTGGAATTTTGGTTGCCAAGCACCCAAAGCACCACGTGACCAGACTCCATCATTTTTATTTTTATTTTTACTGTGAATCACACAGTTCTCCTTCCATTCAGTGAATTATATGATTATTCAATGAATCCGAATTTTGTCCGTTGTTTTGTTGGAGGCCGGCTGGGAAATTCCTGTATCACGATCATGTGACCGCAGGACACTGCAACCATTGGTCAGTTGCCAAGAAGCCAACTTGTGATCATGTGACTGAGGGCTGTGGTGCGACAGTTGTAACTTTGAGGTGGGGCCATAATTAACTTTTTTCAGCGCTGTCGTAACTTTGTTAAATGAATGGTCATAAGTGTGGGGCTATCTGTAGAAGGTTAATTGTTTACCCTCCCTTCTACTGTCTTTAATTCAAGTCTGGAAGGCAGACAATCAGCTCCGCTTCAGATCACAGAATCAGCCATGACAATCACCCTGATTTTTGCTTACGCCTTAGAGGATTATTGCTGCAAGAAAAGAATGGAAGGAGAACAGTGGGCCTTGACTTCAGAGAAAAAAGTATGCAAGCCTAAACTTCTAACAAAATATGTAATTTCAACCTAAGTGTGTTTTATTTGCCCTGTCCTCATTTACTGTGGAACATGGCACACCACTCATGTGATGAGAATGGGTGTTAGTTAGGACTGGTCCATGACTGCTTTTCTAAACTAGCCTTTTCTCCACAACCTGAATTTGACCAGCCCTGTGAGATACAGACATCACTGAACTGAATTGACAAAATCCATGACAGATGTGCAAATGCCCTCTATAAAACGTGAAGGTTTCCCTGTCCAGTTGTGTCCAACTCTAGGGGGGCGGTGCTCATCTTCGTTTCTTGGCCGAGTCAGCCAGCGCTGTCCGAAGACACCCATGGTCATGTGACCAGCATGGCTATAAACCAAAGATGCACGGAACATTATGACCTTCCCACAGAAGTGGAACCTACTTATCTACTTGCATTAGCATGCTTTTGAACTGCTGGGTTGGCAGGAGCTGGAGCTAGTGACGGGAACTCAACCCATCGCATGGCGCTTGGGTCCCTAACCTTGGCTGTCAGCTTTCCAGCTGACAAGCTCAGCATCTTTAACCACTGAGCCAACCCCACTGCCCCCTGATGCCCTCTATAAGTGAGTCTTCGAATTGTGACTGTGTGGTTGAAAAATCAACTATCCAACATATAGTGTCAGGGTGCCAAAACAGAGCCTATAATGGAGACTTTGCTGATTTTTTGACTGGGGCAAATGAACCCCAAAATTATATCTGTAATCTAGGCCAGGGGTCACCAACCCCTGGTCCATGGACCAGTATGGGGCCACAGCATGCACAAATAAGCAAAGCCCCATCTGCAGGATGCAGGCAGCACACAAAACCACGCACTCTCCAGTCCGTGGAAAAACCTCTCTCCACAGAACTGATCCCTGGTGCCCAAAAGGTTGGGGACCCCTCATCTAGACATATGTTTATAATATTTTAGATTTTATATTTCGCATCTTGTAGTTTATATCTCTTGCATTTTTATTAACATGGGGTGCGAACGTGCCGTATGATAAATAGTCTTATTTCGAGTCGTTAAACCTGGCCTTGTTTCCTTGCTGATTTCAAATTGATCTTCCTTCTCAGCTCCCTTTCTAGTTTTCAGACTGCTGTTTTGGGCAATTTTTTGGAAAAAAAAAAAAAGAGAGAGAAAAAAACTCAGCCTGGACGCCATGCTTTGACAACAGGCAACATTTCATTTGCCTGCATTTAAATTAATTAACTTTACAGCGTGGTTGAAAATGACTTAATTTATAAAAATCCTAAGGGAAAGGAATGCGTCATGCGCTGCGGTCTATTAAAACCGCTGCACGCTGCTGGTGGTGAATCAGAGTTATTGCTCTTTAATGGCAGTCATATGCAAATAAGCCGTTATTGGCGGGGTGGGTGGGTGTCGTTTTATGTGCCTCCCAGAAGACTTTTTTTTTTTTTTAAAGGGCCGAACAGAAACACAAACTCACATTTAGACAACTTTTAAGGCCATGTTTTAAATTCTGGAATCAACTTCCATTTATAAAGGAACTGTGCACGTTTTTCACATTTATTGGATCACGTCTCACTGGAAGGAAATCTAGGTTTTTAACTCCCATGGATGTTTATAGGTGGGAAACAGAAACATTCAACAAAATCTGATGACATTTGATCAAAAGTTTGTCCACCCCCCTCAAAAAAAAAATCTGAAAAAAGATAAAGGTAGTCCTTGATTTATCACCTGGAATTACAGTCTCCAAGCACCCACGATACAATTTGTCTGCAAGTGTCTTTGTGTGTAAGCCGCTGTGGTAAAGTAAGCCTGGTGAGGCCCATCATAACTAAGGATAGTTGTTAAGAGACTGGTCATTAAGTGAGGACTACTTGTACATCCTAGAAATTGTGCATCAGTTGTGAGAGTTGCATTTTGAAAAACAGTTTAGATCAGGGGAATTCACAATTTGAACGTCTGCATTAAGGAAATGCAGATACCAATGAAGGAAAGCATGGTGATTTGCATTTTTTTTAAAAAAAAATAATAAAAAATCTGTGGACAATTTATAGGAACAGTTTGTCAATTAGGAGAAGATAATAGGGAAAGCATGATATGTAATGAGGCATTCTAGATATAGATAGTTATGAAATTATTATCTATAGAAAAAAACATGTCTGCATGAATTCCATCCGACTGTTGCAGGCAGTTAAATGGCCATAATTTTTAGCATAGCGCTCGGCATATCCTTAGCAGAGATTGAAACCTATTAAAAGATTATTTCAAATCTAGCAGATGGAATACACACCCCTATAAATGACATCTTTTTCTCATTTGCTGCTTTTGCTGCTCAAATTATTTTCTCAAGGCCACCTGTGAGTCCTTCCTAAAAAAAATGATTTCCTTTCTCTCTTTCATTCCCTATGTTATCAACATCTATTTCCAAATCTTCTTGGTTTAAGGTAGCGGTGTCAAACTCAATTTCATTGAGGGCCGCATCAGCATTGCAGTTGCCTTCAGGGGGCCGGGTGGGTGTGACCAGAGTGGGTGTGATCTACTGGGTAGGTGTGGCCAGCTTTACATTGTTTACATCAAGGGTCCTGTGAGGGCCTGGGCAGGAGTGGGATAGATCTGGCAGAAGGGAGTGGGACCAGGGCAAGTGCCAAGGCATGGTCCACTGGAGGAACCTCACTGTTCCTCTCAGGCCATGCGGGGGGTGGGGGTTATGGAGCTAAGACTGAATGCATTTCAGCATAGAGGGCCACCCCAAAATTGTACATTGGCTCCTGACTGGCCTGGGCCAGGGCCGAGGCAGCGGGGGCTGATCCCTCACTGTTTCCAGGATGGCTTCACGGGCCACATGAAACCACTTCATGGACCACATCTGGCCCCTGGGCCTTGTGTTTGACATGTCTGGTTTAAGGGATCAATTTAGGGAAGAAACGTAAGCTTACTTGCCAAGCACATATTTTCTGTGTCCAAAAGGCAGAAGTGCTTCATACCAAGGAAGGTTTGAGAAGCATCTATTGATGAGAAACCAGCCATTGCTGGCTGCCATGGTCATTAAGATCAGAGCAGTAATTGGCCTCCATATCTGCGGGACTTCAGTTTCCAAAAACCCAAGACAAACGTGACAAAGGCCAACAGTATGGTTTGTGAAATAAGACAGCTTCATCCCATCTCATCTCTTCCATCCTTCACCCACCCATCGCCTTTGGCGCAGGAACAGTAAACAGCAATTGTCTCATGGTGAGGGGTCAAAAAGAGAGAGAAGCTATCCTTGTCTCAATCAATCTGCAAGCCTCTTTGGAGCATCTGTCTACATTGGGAAACTGGATTCAATGACCACTGCTCTCACCCGCTATAAATGGACTTTTAAGAATCTCAGAACTTCAGAAGGGAATAGAGGAAGAGGTGATTTCCATAGATTAACGTCAAGCCTTCATCTGTACAAGTAACCTACATAAAACTAAAGACCCAGCACTGAGTGTGGTGTTTTCACTTACCTTCAGTCTCTTCTGCACCATCTCTTAGTGGTGGAGAAGGTCCACCAAGGCTTCCTAACAGAGGGACATGATCCATTGCAGGCCAACATTAGCAACTTAGCCTAGTTGGCTGAGTGGCCCGCAAGCATCTTACCTCCTCAAAAAGTTCCAGACTATAGGTGTTATCATCATCCGCAAAGTAAACAATCCCTGGTTGACTGTTGTTTCTATTAAAAGTCTCCCTCAGCCACCTGAGGGCCAGGTTCCTTTGCATGGTTCCCCGAGGAATCCGGGGGTCCCGCATGTCCCCTCTCAGCTTGTAGTTGCGTGGGGTCTCCACGTTGAGGTGGGTGTAGTTCAGCCCAGTGTCTCTCAAAAGCCGAGTGACCAAAGCAGTCCGACGTTGGGAGTCCTCCACCAAGATCCAGTGCAAGTTTGGGACATGCAAAAACGTATTGGACAACCGTGTCAGCTCCGCCTTTTGGACCGGCCGGCTGTAAGTAGGAGTGACCACATGGATAGTGGGTAAGGCGTCCGACCAAGGAGGTGGGCGGGTGTAGACGTATTCTGTCCTAACCACCTCCACAATGTCACGGTCAGATAAGCAATACTCTTTAGAGTCCGAGCCTTGGGAGAAGTCACGACGGGTGTCCCCACCATCCTCTACGGAAGAGAAGGAACAAGAGAAGAACAATTGAAGCAGCAAATAGGCAAACATCGCCTCTTGGTTAGGAAGGAGGAGTAGAAAGCAAGCTGAAGAGCAGAAGCCATCAGGCGTACAGGATGGAAAGTGGGCAAATAGTATTTGCCATCTTCCACTATGTCCTAAATAAGTCACTGTCAATTTTGCATTTGATAACAAGACTCAAAACAATTTCTAATCCTGAATCTCCTTGGTTCCCTTCATTTCCTTGTATCAACTATCAGTTCTTTGGGATAAGAAAATCTGCCTTCTGACTTTATGGCAAAAGCTGTGGATGGTGATGCCTCTCTATAAATAATTGTCATCATCATCATCATCATCCATAATTTGTATTTGGAGCAAAAAGAATTAACACTGTAGGAGAATAGTACATAAATCAAGTCAAGTGGCTGGGAAAACAGTGATGAAGCTGGATGGAATCAAATGAATAGGGGGTGAAATGGTTACCTGCAAGGATGAAGAACATTTGGTGCAGCCAGTGTGTGTGGACTGCAAGTGTGAGTAATTCAGCCCCAGTTCTGTAAAACTGACAAAGTAATTTCAGGAGAAAGCAGTTTGTGAAATCGCTCTACCCTTATTGTGTTTCATTGATTCATTTCATTGATTCTCCAGCTTGTTTACTTGAAATCCTGAACGTGACTGGGATTGCATCAGATTATATAAGCGTATATTTTATACTTCAACTCTATGTTCTCCTCCAGCTCACATCTTCAACCCACCCCTGAAAAAATACACCGTAAGTTACCTTTGGAGTCTATTTTAAAATAATCACGCTTGGTGTGGATGGGTGCAAAATATAATTATTTCCCCAGAAACTTCATCAGATTGGAGAGCTGCATTTTGAAAGAAGAAAAACAACTTCATCAACACAATTCTTTTCAGCTAACATCCCTTTTGCCCTAGTTGTCTTTTTTTATAAAGAAATAGAAGACTGTTAGTCTTGAACTAAGGATAGCAAATTTGCAATAACGCCTAGGTGAAGAAAGAACTGGGAAAACACAAATGCATCAGAATAGCATTCAGATAGGTAAAGGAGCTTAAAGAACAGTGGCATTAGAACGGTGTGATAGCCTAGAGGTGAAGACTCTCACTTCCCACTTGGAAGGTTGAGAGTTCAATCCTAAGCAGTGGCAGATCTTTCTCTATCTGCTGCAAACTCTGTGTAGGTGTCAGGAATGGCATCCAGCCAGTAAATGCCCAGTTTCATTCAGTTGCCCCAACTCTACCCCGAATCAAGGGATTACAAGATCATAAAAAGAAAAAACACCAATGCTATTTAATGTCCATTTGCTTATGTTGGTCTGCTAGATGAGAAGTGCAACATCTAAAGATTAAAAGCAGCCCTGGGAGTTTATTCCCAAAATAATTAACAATATTTAATACAGGTAGTCTTCAATTTACAACAGTTCATTTAGTGACCGTTCAGGGTTACAGCGTTTAAGGTCACACTTACAACCATTGCAGCATCCCCATGGCCACCCGATCAAAATTTAGACTGCTTGGCAACTGACTCATATTTATGACGGTTGCCGTGTCTTGTGATCATGGGATCCTCTTTTGTGACCTTCTGACCAGCAAAGTCAATGGGGAAGCTGGATTCACTGAACAACTATGTTTCTTAACAACTGCAGTCATTCTCTTAAAAACTGACAAGAAAGGTTGTAAAATGGGGCAAAATACACTTAACAAATGTCTCACTTAGCAAGAGAAATTTTGGGTTCAACCGCGATCGTAAGACAAGGATTATCTGTATGATAGACTGAGGATGTGACAGGGTCTGTGAGAATTGCATTCACACAGCAAACATCCCCAGATTAGATAAACATTTAGTGTGTTCATTCATCTAATGTATTAAAGCTAGTTAGGTTTAATATTTTGGTGGTTCAGCCTATTGTGTATATATAGTCTGATTAGTTTATGAGCCAGAATATTGTAGAAAACTTGTTAATTCCATCAGCAAGTTATGCACAGCCAGGCAATAATCACATTAAGTGTATTTTAGCAATCAAATGTAATTCTAATTAAAGCTAATGAATTGAATGGAAAACTCACTCTGCTCCTTCTTCCTTGTTGTGGTCTATTCTTTAAAAATATTACCTCTGGGTGGACCCAAAAAAAATATATTGGGCATATTTTTTTCAGACTATAAAATTCAAGAAACGGAGTTGTCTTTTCTGTCGGGAAATCTTGGTGACTGCCATTTGACAAGGATCCGATGGAGGGTCAGCTGCAGTCTCTCAAGAAGAGCCCCTCTGTTATTATTATACTTTTCACAATTCTTTAGGGAGACAAAAATAATCCAGAGCTATCAGACACACAACTCAGTTGCACTCACTGAGTATTATTTGGACTCAAAAACATGACCTGTAATGCAAAAGGGATGCCCTGGGGAGCGTTGCCTTTTTTTTTCTACTGTGATCAGAAGCAAGGCATTCATCTCGTCTCTCCCGGCCAACTGATTCCTCTAATCCTCCAACTGCATAAGGAGCTCCTGATCTGCTGCAATAGGAAACCAGCAATTTATAAACCTGCTGCCTGGTGACTGAAAGAATGAAAAATAAAGAAGGCTAAGGAAATAGGTTGGAGTGGAGAGGTTGTCTGCTGGCATCGACATCCAACTGATATGGGTTGGAAAATGGAACGTGCTTCTCTCTATACAAAAAGACCTAGGACAAATGAAAAAGAAAAGTTCTAGTGCCAAGCTTAGAAAGTTTGACTTCTGGACCATGGGCAGTGAGATTACAGATTTTGACTTCAGGGCCATGGAGAACGAGATTACAGATTTTGACTTCAGGACCATGGACAGCGAGATCACAGATTTTAACTTCAGGGCCACGGAGAGTGAGATTAGATTTTGACTTCAGGACCATGAACAGTGAGATTACAGATTTTGACTTCAGGACCATGGACAGCGAGATCACAGATTTTAACTTCAGGGCCACGGAGAGCGAGATTAGATTTTGACTTCAGGACCATGGATAGCAATGTCCTACCGGTAGTCCACAATCTACAGTTGGGACCAGAATTTCCATGGCTAAGCAAGGCAGTTGTTAAGTGAATCATGCCTGTTTTTGCAACCTTTTTGCTAGGGTTGTTAAGCAAATCACTGTATTGAAATGAATGATGCTGCCTTAAGCAAATCCAGCTTTCCCTACTGACTTTGCTTGCAAATGGCGATCGCATGGCCCAGAGACACTGCCACCTTTGTCAGTACACGCCGTTGGCCAAGCATTTGTATTTTGATCACATGACTGTAATTTTTCAAGGAAGAAATGAAAGAATGATAAAATTGGAGCATCCTTGCAGTTGCAAAGAATTAGCTAACATGCGACATGCCCTCAATGAAAGGTTGTTTGTAAAAGACCTGTGTATAAACAAAACTATTCATTTTCAAAGGTCAAAGGTTTTTTTAAAAGCACACAGAGATAATCCATTTTCCTTCCAATGTAAATAACAGAAATGATGAAAAGGTTCATGGGACTCTTTTGATCAGTCACCCTACTAATTTTGATTCAATGTAACCAAGAAAGACCAAGATATAGCTCCTTGGAGTTCCAGGAAAACGGTTTTGCATTTAAATATTATTGATTCCTTGGGGTTTATCAGCCAAGCTTCACCTACTCCTTACAATGTTTTCCATACTGTAAGGAGTGGATTTAAGGCTTTTTTGGGGGGGGGATAACTGCTACCTTCTTCACTCCTTGTATGGTGTACTGGATAAGGAGTTGGCTCAGGAATTGGAAGATACAAGGACAATCCTGTTCTCCTTCATGGAAGGTTATTGAGTAGGTCCTGAGTATCTAAAATTCAGGGCTTAAGGCACCAGAGGAACGAAAGCATTATTTTTGTAATTTGTTGGTTCATATTTATCTAGTAATTGGAAAAAGAACACTAGGCAAGATCTAAACCTGATCCATAAGATAGTAGAGGGGAGAGGTTGTGATGGAGAAGATGTGTATGACCAACGTCATACATGACATTGTAAACCTGTGCTATGCTATGGTTTGTAAAATAAGCTACAATTGGCTGTATTCACACACCTTGCTAAACAAACCATATTCTGCTTAGCACAATGTGTAAACCCAGCCTATCCATAGGCTTGTAAGCAAGAGGACCATATAGGGATACAAGATAGTATGGTGGGGGGGGGTGTCAAGGCACGTTTATCAGCACCAAGCCTTAAAGAATGCCAAGCTTGACTACAGCCTGTTTCAAAGCTTGCAAGGTTGGCCATAATAGGAAACAGAATACTGGATCCCCATTAAGCTGACTCAGAGAAAATAATAACCTTGGGATCTTTATGGAAAGGGATGCTGTATCTTTGAACCCATATTGGGCATTATAAAATGAACAAAGAAATATGTAGCACAATCATTTTATGGGTTTTCATGTTAGATAGCTAGCTGGACACTTTAATAACATCCTATCTCTTCTTCTGGGCAAGGAATCATCTCGGAACACATGAAGAAAATATGAAACCTTCCATGTTGAAGGAGCAAATTGAAATTTATTGTTATTAAACAACTTTAATATTGAAATGCCATTCCAGAAAAAAAAGTTCTTTCTTTGCTAACCTCCATCCTTCTAGGAGATGTGGCCTGGGAAGGTGGCCTTCCATTCAGCTTAATTCTTGAAGAACCATAGCCGAATTCCTACTGAGCTTCTAGAAACTTCAAGATGGATTTTTGTTCCTGGCCAATAAGGAAACTTCAGTATTCAGTGTGGACTTTCCTATGTGTAAACTAAATAAGAAACAAGGTTTCTGTATCTCTAGATGTTTGGGCTTCAGAATCTTGGAAGGAACCTAATGTATAAGAAACTGGTTGATGAAATGAGTATAACAGTGGGAAGGCTGATGATGTGGTGGTGGAGGCGGCGGTGGTGGATGATGGGGCCAATGATGGTCAGAGCTGGCCTGGGCTTTCTCCTCACCCTTATGCACGGCAAGCAGGGGAGCAATGGCGCTCTGATGCCAGACGGTGATAAGCAGTGTCCAGGGAAGCACAATCAGCACAATCGCCAAGATGTCTCGTCGCTTCGGCATCTCCAAGGCTGATGGGACCCACAGCTCCTCATTACCTGACAGTAGAAACCCCAGAGACAGAACAGGAGACCACATGGAGATCAAGGCAAGAAGAAGTCAGAAGGCCGTTAAAAAGCCACGAGGCTCACACGTCTTACCAGTGCTCAAAACCCACCCATTGCACAAGCAGGTTTGCAGAGGCAGCACTTGCCACCAAGGAGAGGCCAAGTTGCCCCCAACAGGGAAGACGCTTCTCTGGGTGACGTCACTGGCCAGGACTTCAGGATCCCTTTCGGAAGGACGCCTGGAAAGCAAAGTGAAAAAGGGGTAGACATCACAGAGATAGAGAGAGAGAGAGATAGAAAGAGAGAGTGCAGTCCTGCAGGCCACTTTAGCTGACTGTGTTCAGCAGGTCAGCGGTTCAAATCTCACCGGCTCAAGGTTGACTCAGCCTTCCATCCTTCCGGGGTAGGTAAAATGAGGACCCAGATTGTTGGGGGCAATGTAAATATATATATATATATAATATATATATATATATATATATATATATATATATATATATATATATATATATATATCTGTTTTGTATTTGTATATAGGTCTTGTTGTTTTTCTCCGCGAAAATTGGAAGTGTCTTGGCAACGTTTCGACGAAGTCACATTCGTCATCTTCAGGCTGGTGTTTTTAGCTTCTTGCTTTGAGCAGCAATGTGTGGTTTTAGCTGTTTCAATGTATATATATATACATTGCTTACTGGTATACACCGCTTAGAGAGTGCTTGCACTTAAAGCAGTATATAAGTCTCATAAATAAATAAATATACAGAGATAGATAGATAGATAGATAGATAGATAGATAGATAGATAGATAGATAGATAGATAGATATAGATATAGATATATAGATATAGATATAACCTTTACTGTCATTTTTTTACTGTGGGCACACTGACACACATTAAAAATGAAATTCTGTTGCCTGCTCTCAAAAGTGTACACATACATAACACACATATAGACATGCTATACGCATTTATATGTATGTACCTACAACTTTACATATAAATACTTATAAATATTAATCACTGTCCGTCTTCAATACATAGCGGAAGGAGGAAACTTGAGAGTTCACAAGGTTGACATTGTATGGAACAAAGCTCTGGCTGAAACTGGATGTTCTGCTTAAGGTTGGATGGGTCCAGTGTCCATCCCACATTTGCACCGCAGAGAAGAGGAACAGAATCACAGCGTCGGAAGGGGACCTTGGAGGTCTTCCAGCCCAACTCCTTGCTCGAGCAGGAGACCCTATACCAGTGGTGGCCAACCTGTGGGCACCCACACACGCCGTCACCCCAGCCCCACCTGCCCCCGTGGCCCCGTCCTCACCAGCAGCCCTCCTGGAGGAGAGTCACCCTGGGAGCTGCCCACGTGGAGCAGTGCAGCCAAGGACATGGCAGCTGGGCAGCAGGGACAAGACTCCGCCCTTGTGCCCATTGCATGCAGATGATGCTGCGGGGCGCGGGCGGAGGGCGTGACCACCATGGTACTGCAGGGCCGCCTGGGCAATCTGCTGCAGCGGACTGTGGAGGCAGTAGGTGACCCTGTGGGTGGGAGGGGGGTGGGCAGGGCGCGGAGCAGAGCAGGAGGGCAGGGCAGTTTTTGGGCACTCGGTGTCTAAAAGGTTCTCCATCACTGCCCATTTCAGACAAATGGCTGCTCTGTCTCTACTTAAAAGCCTCCAGTGATGGAGCACACGTCTGTTCTGTTAGATTTCCACCAGAAGAAATCTTAAGATTGTCTCCAGATTGCCTGAGATCTCTTTTCCACTGTTTGTCCTGCCAAACGAAGTCCAAGGCTGGGAGTAGATTAAGCTGACATACAGGTTTAGCTCAGATTCTAATGGGAACCCAGACAAGATTTAAGCAGGCTGTATTTTATCAAGGGGTTATCTTGGCAAGCGGTGTAGATCACATCAGTGCCAATGTGGAGTGGATAATTTACAGACCAGGGATGGAAGTTGGGCTGAATCATGGGTAGACAAAGAAAGAGACTTCGACAGGCTGATTTAAGCACTGCAGTGCAGGCAACGAGGGGCCATGTTTGTGTTTGTGTGTTCAGGTGTGTGCACACATGCATGGGCATGCAGAAGGACAGTGTCATCATTCAGAGGCCAGGAAATCATAGAAATGTTCCTTTTCTGGTTAATTCATGGAGACATCCATGGGGTTTTCCTGGCAATAATATCTAAGTGGTTTGCTTTAGTTCTTCTGGGATTCATTTCTCTTTACTTGGATTTGGGGATCTGTAAAATCCGACACTGCCCACTAGTCTCCATTGAAATAGTCCTTTTCTTAAATCAAGGATAGTCTGGTTTGTTTGTTTTTTTATTTTGTCCTTCAGAAGAATGAGATACTTATTTTAGAGCTGGCCTGAAGGTGTCTTGCAAAGTTCTTTATTGAACTGATAAGCCGAGAAATTTGGTGAATGGCTTTGCTAACTTTCTCCAGGAGAAAGAAGGGCCTGCTCTGAGCAAGGACAGGGTTCTTTTGATTGAAGAAGAAGCCCCAACCCATCTTAAAAGGGCCGAGGTGCTTTTGAAGCTATCTCACCTCGTCGCCTGCACCAAATTTCCTGGCAGGAAGTCTCACATACGGATTTTGTACAAATAAATATTTCCTTCCGGCAGGTTTAAATCTCCTACTAACCCATTTCATGGAAGGTGTCTAATACTAGTATTATCTTTGTCTTGTTTATTTATCCAATTTCTACACCATCTCTCCCCCCTAAGCAATTATGGGAGGGAAACGAAAACTTCTTCCTGTCTATCTTTTCGTAAAGGGGTAAATTAACATTATAGGAAAGGAGCTAAAGATTTTCAGTTAGATGAAACACAGTTTGGAAAAAGTTGTGTGTGTGTGTGTGTGTGTGTGTGTGTGAGAGAGAGAGAGAGAGAGAGAGAAAGAGAAAAATGGAAAAAGAGCAACAGAGAGAGAGAGAAACAGAGAGAAATGGAGAGAAAAACAGGAAAAAAACAGAGGGGGGAAACAGAGAGAGAGAACAACAGAAACAGATAGAGAAATGGAGAAACTGTGAGAGAGAGAAAGAGAGAAAGAGGGGGGGGGGAACAGAGAGAGAGAGATAGATAGAAAGAGAGATAAAAGAGAAGAACAGGCAAACCCCCACCCAATAAAAATAGCAATAAAGCTCATTCTCATTAATTACTCTGTAAGCCATTACTGCCTTAAAAAAACCCATAACTTTAATGGAGGCTATTATAAAATATAGCAGCAAAACTGTGAAACTAATTACAGTGCCGTCATTATAGAGAAGCAAATGGGTGGGGGGGGGATACCCAATCAACTCCCTCCCTCCCCAGAAATCATGTTTCTGTCTGGCTAAAAATTCTGTTCTCGCCCAGGAAGGAAGTTTGCCGTCCACCCTTCAGGTCTTCTGGGACTCCTCCATCGCTGCTCTTCTATCTAATGAATGCCCCTCCCTCCTTCCAAATCCAACTTAGAGGGTATTTTCTCCTCCTCTCCCCCTCCACCTTCATAGCACTCGGTCTGCCTTCCTGCAAAATCAAGTGGTAGATGACTAAAGTGGTTGAAGAGGCAGCAGGAGGAGAGCTGTGCTTATTAGTTAGTTTAGTTTCTATCCCACCTTTATTTATTTATTTTTTAAAAAAACAACTCAAAGTGGCAAACATACCTAATATCCTTTCTGGTTTTCCCCACAACAACGATCCTGTGAGGTGGGCTGGGATGAGAGAGAGAAGGACTGGCTCAAAGTCACCCATGCCTAAAGCAGGACTAGAACTCACTATCTCCTGGTGATTGGCCCAAAGTTACCCAATCGGCTTTCGTGGCTAAGGCGGAACTGGAACTCACTGTCTTGTACACACAATTCCCTGCAAGTAGAAAACTAGCAGGACAAGCAAAGAACTAAGCTTAGAGCATTTTGACCCCAGATCCTGGATTCCTATTTTATTCCTTGGCTGGAGCACCATTCCAAAAGGCCGTTTCCTCCCTACAATCCGCCGTCCTCCATTTCTATTTCATTCTGTTCAAAAGTATGGATTTCACGTGCAGCCTCTGCTAAATGGCTCCCATAAGCATGAGTTATTGAATAAACTATAACTGGCTAGATTCATAAAAATGCGCTAACCAAGAACCGTGATTTAAAACCCACGATGACTTGCTAAGCCCAAACAAATCACTCAGTGGGTTAGGATAGAGTCTGTCCATAGTTTTAGCCTCCGGCTTGCATAGAAAGGCTAAGAATAGCTAAAAGAGATGGAAACCCTATGGTTCAACTCCGGCCCTCCTAATTTCTACTTAATTCAGCATCCAAGTGGGCTGTCGGAGGTGGGAAGAACGTCAGGAAAGGTAGAAAAAAACCCCGACACCCCAAATCCTTCACTCCTTTTTTTAAGTATTCATTCTGCAATCCTGACCACCATCTTAATTTTTTTTTTTTAATATTCTCCCAATGACCCTAATAGGAGGGACTAGTGAGAGCTACATGGGTTCCTAGTCTCTGGCAAGCTGCCATTTTTAACTTTCCCACAATTCCCCAAAGTAATGCTTTGTAGGACACTGTGCTGCATGGTGAGGTATCATAAAAGCTTAGTTTTTATTCTGGGCTACAGCTCCGGGGCTTTGTCCGCTTCATCCATTATCTGTAAAGTCTCGCTGTTTTTGTGATTTTATTATCATCCTACCTTTTTATTATTTTTTTTATAAAAAAAAACCCCTCAAAGTGGTAAACATATCTAATACTCCTTCTTCCTCCTGTTTTCCCCATAACAGCAACCATATGAGGTGAGTTGGCCCAAAGTCACCCAGCTGGCTTTCATGCTTAAGATGAGACTAGAACTCCCAGTCGCCTGGTGATTGGCCCAAAGTCACCCAACCGGCTTTCATGCCTAAGGCCAGGGGTCTTCAAACTTGGCCCTTTTATGACTTGTGGACCAACTCCCAGAATTCCTCAGCCAGGCATGTTGGCTGAGGAATTCTGGGAGTTGAAGTCCACAAGTCATAAAAGGGCCAAGTTTGAAGACCTCTGCCTAAGGCAGAACTAGAACTCACCATCTCCTGGTGATTGGCTCAAAGTCATCCAGCTGGCTTTCATACCTAAGGCAGGATTAGAACTCGCAGCCCCTGAGTTTTTTTTTTTTTTCCCCTATGGAGAATCCTCCCTACAGTATAGAAGAGGATCTTTACCTCATCTGAGTGCCTTTACATTCTCCTGCATGCGGAGTACTATTCCCAGCTGTCGAGATTTATTTTTAATTATGGAAACTT